TGAACCCTGAAGTTGACTGGCAGCCAGTGAAGCTGGAGGAGAAGCGGGTTGATGTGGGTGTGTTTGGAGGACTTGGTCAGAAGCCGAGCACAGGCATTCTGAACCACCTGTAGACGGTTCAGGGAGGTTCTGCTCAGACACGTGAAAAGAGAGTTACAGTAGTCTAAGCGTGAGGAGATGAAGGTGTGGAGAACTGTCTCAAGTTCAGAGCGGGACAGAATGGGACTCAGCTCAGCAATGTTCCTGAAATGGAAGAAGGAAGAGCGAACAAGAGAACTGAAACGAGAATCCAGGGTGAGAGCTGGGTCAAAGGTCACGCCAAGATTCCTGACAGAAGGTTTGGTGTGAGAAGCAAGCTGACCAAGAGAGTCTCTGACTTTGGGAACCAGCTTGTCTGGGGCACAGATGAGGATCTCAGTCTTATCTTCATTCAGCTGAAGAAAGCTCACAGCCATCCAGGTTTTGATAGAGTCTAAGCAGGTGTGTAACAGCTGCAGCTTAGACATCTCATGGGGCTTAAAGGAGATGTACAGTTGGGTGTCATCTGCATAAAGTTGGTAGGAGATTCCTTTGAAGGAGCTCAGGATGTGCTGAAGAGGGAGCAGATAGAGGAGGAAGAGCAGAGGCCCCAGCACAGAACCTTGTGGGACACCATGGATAAGAGAGATGGTGGAGGACCTAAACTTGGAGACGGCCACAGAAAAGGACCGCTCAGAAAGATAAGTGGAGAACCACTCCAGAGCAGATCCTGATTGGCCTAGTCTGGCGATAGGAGATGGTAGCAGGGACACTACTGAAGAGGATCACAGACAGGAGCAAGGTGGAAAAGAGGAGGTTAGTGGAGAAAAGTTTGAAAAAGTGGCCGGTGACCGCGGCCAAGCCAAGCACAGACGCCATCTTGTTACCGACACCGAGAGACCATTTTCATGTTCATCCTGCATGTTAGACTCAGAGTGATCAATCATGTTAGACTCAGAGTGATCAATCATATTTCAAAAATAAGTGAAAAATGGTTTCTCAGTGAACTTGGACTTTAACCAAGGGAGTCCCACATAACTTTAGATGTTCTGAGTTCTCAGGTACTTTTTGAGATCTTTTAGCCTACCCCGCGTAGTCAGACAGGTAGCTATCAGGTTTGGGTGTGGCTGAAGAAACCGACATCGTCCTTAAAGATAACGTGTTAATTCACAATTAGCCTTTTCACATAGGACCAGACTGGCTTGGATAGATTTGTTTTCTTAGTAAGTCTTATATCTGTCTAAAGATCTGAAACCTTTGAGGAGAAAAGAAAAAGGAGCTCATGAAACGTTTCTCTATCCTCTAACGTGTAATTAGAAGACTGGATGTGTTTTCGCTTCGGACGGTTCCCAAATCTGAGATTTGTTTTTCCCAAAACCCAGCTCTCCTTTCTCTTCCCCTCTGCAGATTTCTGAGCAGTAGGCGTCTCTTATTCGGATCGAGAGGTTGCTGAAAATAAATCATCACCCTCCCACCAGTATGCGAGGATGTCCAGATGGTTGAATTTTCACTGACGTTCCCCCTGCTGAATTTCCCCATTGTCTTCCACGCTAAAATTAGAAAGTAATACTTGGTGAAAATGCTGCGTCTGCTCAGATGGTGCCGGTTAATTATCATGAACTGGATTCATGTGCCTCCCACCAGTGAACCATTGAGGCTGCGTGGTGGGAGAAGGATGGAGTCCAAAGCAAAACCCTTAAACCTAAATGAGCCTAAAACTCCGGATTTCACCATCAAACACTATCATTTTTCTTGTCCTTTTTACAAGAACTGACATTTAGCTACAAAGAGCTCACAAAACAAAAAACCACCTGGAAATTTTACTGAACATGAATTTCGAGCTTTTACTTGGAATCTAATAAAAGCTGTGAAGTGTGGTCAGATAATATAAGCAGCATTGTTTTCTGGGAGAAGTAAACGATTATTCAGCCCACTACACGTAGACGGGCAGATGGCAACAAAAACGACATTATTCACTCCATTTTGATGAGAATTTTCTTTGGCGGCGTTTGACAAATGACCGTTTTATCTTCAAACGCAGCGAGGGCTTAAATTCTACGGGGAATAAATCCAATGTTTTAAGGCTCAGATTAAACCATCTGCATGGTTTGGAACTTCTTTTCATTTCTGTGTGTGCATCTGAAGCTAAAATGAAGAGCTTCTGGTAGACCCCTGATTTTCTAATGGGCTCGACACACGGGAGGCGACATCGCCTCTCCTCCATTCATTTTCATTGAGACATGCGCGACAAAGCGATAATCGCGGGTCTCCCTCCTACCAAGCGAAACGCAAAAAACGTGCGTGTGAAATTTTGCGCTCGTGCACGTGTCGTGCACAGGCGACCCAGCGACACGATCCCAGAAAGTTGAAACATTTTCAACTTTTCATCGCTGTCGCTCGGACGAGGACCAATCAACGGAGGTTTCATTCACTGACCAATGAGCGGACAGGATGCTCCGTACATCTCCGAGCAAACATGGAGGAGAAGTTGATTATTATTATGTTTTATATAGTAAAATCAGAAGTAAGATTTCACATATCTCTAGCAGCACCTTGTGAAACATCATATCTACCGCTTTTTTAACTCTGAACCGCTTAAATAACCTTAATTCCCTCCAACCTGACACAGCCAAGCAAAACAACGGAAGTTTCGATTTCACCATGGAACAGACATAGACGGCTTTGCCGCGGATCGCCTCCTGTGTGTCAGGTAATCAAAGTGACGGTGACAAATTTTGTTGATCGCGGTCGTTTGTCGCCTCCCGTGTGTCGAGACCATAAGCCTAAAATTGAGTCGAGGGTATTTTAATGGGGCTAGACTGCAGCTCACCCACAAATAAACATTTTTCTGCTGTTAAAGTGTAATTCAGTGTCTAATAGTGCTGTAGAGATGTCTTTGTCGTGTAAATAATACGCCTAAAACTGTCAGTGTAGCGCCCTCTTCAGGTTAAAACTTTACACTACATTGAATTTGAGTCAGCCATCACGATTGGCTAAGAGGTACCCTGTGATGTTGCAGGAACCTTATATCTGCTACAGTTTCGCTGTGGGGCATAAAGAGCAGCCAAGTCCTTTATAGCAAGCTAAGAGTTTACGGTTCGGCACCGATGGCCTCACCCAGCTGTTCCTCTAAATGTGGCGGCGTTTAACGGAATAGACGCATTTTACCCACAAGCTTGCTTCAAACTGTGCTTCAGATGCAAAACAAAAGTGAAAGCATTCCAAGGAGCAGGTGTGATCTCGAAACAATGAGAGAATTGCAACATCGCACGGGATTTTCAAAGATCACGTTAACAACCAAGGATAAAGGCAAGTGCACGTATCCACAAAGATCTGTGGTTTACTTTCTGCTCTGTTTACCTCAGATACGGAGGTTTCACAGATATTGACGTACCCTTTTCACTACTAGTTAAAGAGACAATGTGTAGTTTTAACCATTAATTTCAGGAAATATCTATCAAAATGTTGTTGAAAAAAATTGGCAGCTTCGTAACATATAACCATAAAAATAAGTCTAAAACACACGGGAGAGGGTTTAAGTATCTGGGCGACGCCATGTTTCCTTCTACGGGAGCCCATGAGGACAAAATGCATTTACTGATTTGTAACAAATGCTTATAAAACTTTCATCATTCTTAAATGCTGTTTTACACATTTACCTCTTCACTTGTTGCCAGTGAAGAAAGACAGTCTGATGTGCTCGTTATTTTATTTTGCTGAAGTTTGCACTCCCCGGGGCTTTTTGACCCTAATGGGCATCTGTTGGTAAGGTCTTACTCCATCACAAAAATACTGCTCGCTTGCAATGATTTAGGTATCTGCTAGGGCTGGGCGATGTGGCCTAAAATCAATTTCACAATATATTGAGGATTTCACCTCGATAACGATAAATGGACGATAACTACAGTTATGCGTAGAAACTAAAGTTGTCCACTAGATGGGGCTGTGACATGCATTGAGTCACATTTTTACGTGATCTAAGGTGGTACATCTTCTTAAAGGGACATGAATGTTGCCAACCTACACACAGTTTCATTTTTTTAATCATATTTATTGACATGGGAAAAATGATCTCGGTAAGAGTCAGAAATTTCAATAACGATACATTTTCCATTCATTGCCCAGCCCTTGTATCTACTGCCCCCTATCACCAGGAAAAATTCACACTGTCACTTTAAGTAAATGGAACTTTGCAAGTGACTTTTATTTAGAAAATTTTCAGATGTTTTATAGTTTTTGTGTTTGAATTCCTGTCTGACCCAATCTAAACTGCGGCGTCTAACGTGTTGTGGAAACATTACGCGTAAAATATTCAAAACGTAAGCAACACGCCCAGACTTCTACGTCCAAAATGCAATAGCGGCTGGTGGAAAGGAACCCGTCCGCTATAATGACGGCTAATTGCTGCCATGTATGTTTTGCGGCTGTTTCATGTCAGGCAACTCACGAGCCATCAGTTAAAAACCTTACGGCTCAATGCTACTCGCCTCCTGTAAAAAGCCGTCCTCTTTTGGAGAACTTCACCTCCAGACTGCTCGGAGGCAAAGGAGCTAGTGTTGCTAACAGGACTAGGAAGAGCTCTTTTCACCATCTGAGCAGGGTCCGTGTGTGCGTATGTTAGCAGCTTGGTTATCCAGGTGGAGTGTTTATGATTTACGGTGTTCTTACAGACCCACAAAAGGTGAATTTTGAATAATAGGTCACCTTTTAAACTAGCAGTAACAAAGAATGGTGCATGAAAAAGGCATAAGGGTCAGCCACGGCCCACTAGAAACTCTTCAGATCCAGTTGTATAAGTGGAACTGCAGAACGTGCAGAACAAAGTGTCCAAGACTGTTATTCTATTTATAGTAGGCAATGCATGATTTTGACTAAAATGTTGCTTATTCTCTCGTACGTCTGTCCAGTCACCAACAGTGGCTTTGGGGGGTTAGCTAGCTTAGCCAGAGCGATTAGAGAAAACAGCCGTGGTATGAAAAAAATCCCTTTTACGTCTCTTTATTTGGGCTCCAAATACATAAATCAGGTATGTTCATCATACACAGTCTGCTTTAGATCTCCTATTACAACATAGGACTGATGCAATGACCAACCATGTTAACTAGTCCTATTTACATCATTTTAGATCTTTTTTCTGGTAGTAAATAACATTTATCATACTGAACAGCGATTGACTAGGAACAATCACAAGGTGTTTTCTTTAATTTTGGCTGCTATGTCTTTAATACACATCCACAGCAGACGTAGTTCTATAATGAATCATTAGGCTGAAGCATGGCCCGGTGGACCGTTGGGTCTAGCTAATGGAATCGGACTTGTGTTCGTTTAAAACTATTGATGCACTTTTTAAAAGCAGACCCTGTTTCCAGACACTCTGGGTGTAAATGTACTTCTCCACAGCTGCTGAACGATGGAAGATCCATCCTTTAATCTCTCATCCCTAAAAAACACAAACTTTAAGACCTGAGATTTTTTTGTTTGTTTTTTCGAGACAAAATGACTTAATTAAAACAACAATGGCTGCAGAGTCGTAGCTGTGTCTCTGTTTCTTTGACCAACAACGTGCACGTTAAAAATACTCCTCGTGTTAAAACCTTCATTAAAACTCCGCCTACTTGTTTTCCTTTGCTAAGCAGAAGTACACGGCTCTAGATCTGACCATTACACCAGAGTCGTCAGTGTGTAGACACGACTGCGGGGGTGCAGAAATTCAGATAACTTAAGACAAATAATCATTTTAAAACTCTATAAAACATGATAATACATTATCCTAGATGACACTAGGGACTCTGAGAGTTACAAGTTCATTCCCTGGGCACTTAGTAAAGAGTCCAACATGTCAAAAGTGTTTTTGTAGTCGGTATGTTGGCCGTTGGACATCAGCACACCATTTGTTCCATCGTGGTGCTCCATCGCTCTCTGGCTGCTGTCTGACGAGTAGTGGGACGAGCCCAAGCTTCCTTTGGTGGACCTGCTGCTCTTGGACGAGTGGTGGTGGTTGTGGCTGCCAGCGTCCAAGTGCTGCCTCTTACGCGACAAGCTGGACGAGCTCCCGTCGTTATAGTGGCTGCTGGAAGCTCTAACAGAAAAGGAGGCATTGTCCATCGTCCCTCGACCGTGTCCGGAGAGGGAATTAGAGTGTTTGGAGTGGCGGTGGCCGCCGTGCTCTTTGTGCTTGTCTTTGCCAGACAAAGCCCCGCCTTGCTCCGATGAGACCTTGATTCGCATTTTGAACTCCTCATTGGTGGCGGAGCCGTTCTCAGCATAGGAGGGTGCGTGTCGGGGCTTTTTAGAGCTGGCCTTGTCCCTCCCTGATTGGCCGGCCTGCTGCTGAGAGCGTTTCTTGTGGTGGTGGGAAGTCACCACCGGAGCAGCGTACGCGTCTGTGCCCGACTCCTCTTTTATGCCGTTCTGTATGACCAGCTCGGCAGCGTGTTTCTCTCTGTACTTTTCAAGAGTCAAGACTTTTTGCGGCCGTGAAAAATTGGCAGCATTTGACCCAGGTAGCTGGTGTTCGCCGCTGGTCCCAGCTGAAGCTTTGTGTTTGTGTTTGACCAGTGTGAAGTCTGAGTGGGACTGCTGGGGGAACTGGTCGTAGCCGCAAGTCTTTGACTGCTCGCTGAGGGGCTGGTACAAGGCGTAAGGGGCTGATATGGTGTTCAGGGCGGACAGTTCAGTAGAGTCTGATGCTGACGTGGAGGGGAAGAAGGAGTTGGTGACACCAGGAAGGCTTTCTAACGTCCCCTGGAAGGCACCCTCCACTGCCAGACCATCTGTCTTTGGTTTCTTAGCTGCTTGAATAGCCTAAAATCATATTTTCACATTTAGACACAAAACAAACCAAGCCGTGTGTTCTGATGAGGCACGACCTACCCTCCAGTTTCGTATCCTTTTCAGCTTGCTGGGAGTCCTCTCCAGAATTTGTAGAAACTCGTGAGTTAGCTCTAAAAGACGAGCAGAAAAACTGTAAAACCAGTCGTGGGCGAGGTCAAAGCTCTGGAGTTACGCTCCTACCATCTAACAGGTGTAGCGTTACAGTACGGTCCACATACTCCCACCAGTGCTTTCCATCTGTGGACACCGGGATCTCCCAGTTGGACCATTTGCAGGCCAGGTGAATGCAGACACAGGCAACAACTGTAGGCCTGTACTGAAGGCAGAAGGTAGTGAGGTGCAAACTGCAAAGAGACAAAACAAACATGACAGATACACAGTAAGACCGGGGGGACTCACAACAAACAATGTCAGACATACATAAATCAATGCTCTTTCCTCATCACACACACAAATCCTTACCTCTGAACACTGGAACATATTGGCAAAGTCACAGCTGTTAGGACACGTATATAATAAACAACTGACACGGACGTGTCTTAACCTAAAATGGTTCGATTTATCTCAGTAACACCCATTACGATGAAGACTGCATTAAATCCCTGAAGTGGTTGGAACATGTGTGGTTCGGTACTCAAGTAGGATCAATTAAAGGCGGAGATCGACTAATCGGGTAGAAAATCGATGACTGCGAAATGGCCGTTGGATGGGTTAAAATGAATGGTACTTGCAGAAGAAATCGGAAGGAATTGGTATATTTCTGTCCCGTAAGTGCAGAATATAAATCTTTTGCCACTCTGGTCACACATCTGGTAGTTAATTTTAGCATGAAAATAAAAGTGAATGAACAAAAAAAACGTAACTTTTTTTGTTCTTTCTCCTTCTTGAGACAATTGATTAGACCAGGTTGGACCCAATCAGCCAATCGGGACACTGTAAGGGGAGTCTTAAGTCACGCCCATCTACTTCCGAACCACGGGTCCCCAGAAGAAACAACAAAATGAATGCAAGTCAACGTAGCTAAAACGCTATTTTCTAATTCCGCTTGTTATGTGCCGTGGATTTCACACATGATGTCTGAATTTTAAAGACATTTTGATACCAAGAAAGCACTTATCTTTGAATGAGGGGAAATGCCATTTTAGGTTTTGTGTAAAAATAAGTCGAGGACTACAAATGCGCATCACGAAAGTGATGCCATCAAACCAGAGATGGAGAAAAACGGAAAGAAAATGGCTGCAAGTTGGGCGAACTTCAAACCCTTCCTTCAGGAGGAAAGAACCACCGTAGATATGGCCATGTGGTGAGTAGCAGCTACGCTAGAGGGGTAGAGATTCTGTGGTGATGTCATACATGCGACGTGCCAATTTCTGGTTTGTAGTCATGCTAATTACGAACTTTTACAAGCAGATAAATCTCAAAGTACGTGACTGGCGTGGTTGAAACACCCATCATTAGTTTTCATTTAAACACAAGTGCACATGTGCGATTCAAGGCGAAAGGCTTAGCCGATTAGAAAATAGCGTTTTTAGCCCCGTTGACTTGTATTCACTTTTTTCGTTCTTCCGAGGACCCATGAGCCGACTGGAAAGGGAGGACACTTAGGGTCCCTATAGGATAAACCTTTTAGTGTTTGCAGAGAAAAAGCACCTGAAAACACCTAGAATGCTTCAGTAATATTGAAAAAACGTTACGTTTGGGGGAAAATGCTACTTAGAGACATTTGCTGTGGCTGAACTGGGAGATATGTTACTTTTCACGGATGCAGACTAATGTCCTCGAGCTTACTGAGGTAACCAACGTAATCTAGTTTAACAGTCTTCCAGTGTACCTCACCGCCATGATAATCGAGCTATTTCTATTGTGTCTTAATTAGTCATCCTCATTTTGTTTTCAATTTGGTTGCAGTCTGATTCTTTTCATCTCAAACCATAAATTACTCGGCCCTTCCACCAGTGGTATTGGTAACGTAATAGATGCATGTTCCCCGCGGGCTTGGCGGCGCGTCTCTTCCCACTGCGTTGGTTTCAGGTGCAAAGCGCTCCACAGTCGCTGAAGATTTTCAAGATCACGAGTGATTCCGGCAATTTGCATGCTAACAAGCAAGGAGGACGGCAGCAAGTATCCATGGTTTACTTTCTGTTCTGTTTACATCGGCTACAGAGGCTTCACAGGTCATGATGTCTTTAACTAGTTTTAGACTTTTATTTTGAAAGTCGCCCAATGTTTTACACTGCTCCTGTGTTTGACTTCCTTGCTCTGATCTGAACTGTTGAGCTTGATGCTTTCTGAAAGCATACTCTATAAAAAGATTCAAAGCGTGAATTTAGCAGAGTGACGCAACGCCACGCTTCTGGCCAGTGGAAACGTGCCCATTAGCTACAACCGCAACTGCATACTATGCTTCACACACGTTTGCTCGCCTCTAAAGTTATCTCACTCTTCTGGCCTACAGGAACCAAATCGATAAAGCTCCCGACAAATTAATATTGTACATTTTTTAAATATTTTAAATTCCTACAGGACAGCAAAAACGCGTAACGAGTCTCTAAAGCACCATCATTAATGTTTGGAAACGTTTTGGAAATTGCCTAAAACTAGCCATTCGTTGTTTGCGTCCAACAGCCACAGCCCTGTGAGAACGTTCCAGGAGAAGGAACGAAAAACAACAAGACAAACAGCTTTGATTCATGTTATTCCCGACTTAATGGTTCCTTCTTTTCTCATTTTGGGATGGTGAACAGCAGGTGTGAGACCAAGTCACAGCTTTGCAAGTCACAAGTCTTTCCAGTCAAGTCCAAGTCAAAGACAAGTCCAAAATCAATGATCTGGAAGTCCAAGTCCTTAACTTTGAATTTTCAAGTCATAATCAAGTCATCCATCCAACTTCAATTTAATGACGATGATAAATTCCAGAAATAAAGCTTCTTAAAGCTTTGTTTATTTGCTCAAACAGCAGGAACTGGAACTGAATCAAACCCAGAACAAAGAATGATTTATGATTTTTGTCCATGTCGTGTCACTTTTGTGCTAAAATATCAAATATGCTCAAGTCATCATCAAGTCAACAGATGCAAGTCGATTCAAGTCGCAAGTCATTGGCGTTCTGGTCCGAATCAAGTCGTAAGTCTTTATAGATTTTATCAAGTCAAGTCAGAAGTCATTAAAATAATGACTTAAGTCCAAGTCATGTGACTCGAGTCCACACCTCTTGTTGTGTTTACATTTTAAAGATGAGGATCTGTATTTGAAAGCTGGAACAAAAACTCGTCTTGCACATTAACCTGCAAACCTCAAGTAAACAAACAAAAAATTTAAAATAAATCAAAACTCTGAAGATTGAGTCATAAATCAATCAAGAAAATACACTAAAATTATCTTTAAACTTTAGCTTTGGTAAATGATAAATATAAAAACCTAAATAACGACATCTTTAATTAAAAAGACCCCAGACTTCATCTTTTGTACAGAAAGTAAAAACCACACAAAGTAACACGGTACAAGTAGTTTAACACATAGCGCTGTTAGGACTCCTCTTTACTGCAAGACCATTAAACTTTTAAACATACATTTTATGAATTACTAGGAAAACAAGTCTGATGCATAGCTCAGGGTTAGCGCCGTAGGATTGAAGCAAAGAATCAGAATAATGACAATTAAAACAAAGAACCATAAACTGTACTTACCAAGAACCTCTATAAGTTTAAGAATCTTTAGTGGCAATCTATATTCAGGCTACCAATTGTGTTTGTTCTGTGTTTTTAGACATATGCACTCCGTACCAAACAACCTGGAGAGGTAAACAGCACCACTACACTCCACGCTGTGCATTCAGCCCCTTTGTGCCAACACGGAGCCCTTGTACAATACACCGCACACAGCAGCCTGGTCGGGGGTTCCCGGGGGCCAGGTGCCAGCAGGGCGTTGGACACAGGAAGGGGGGCCCTGCAGGACAGGAAGCTATAGTGTGCCATTACAGTGCAAGAATGGGAACAGGATAATAACCTGTTGGTAGCCATGAAATAGGAAGTCTGTGCCAAATCCTTGCTTGCTGTGAAAAAAAAAAAAGGACAGATTTTAGAGCTCACGTTTTAAAGCCGAGTAGCAACTATGGAATCAGACGAAACCGGACGTGTTCCAGCCTCCTGAGACCTGAGCTTTGGGTGGATTATTAATTCCGCTAAACTCTGACTATTAGCAGTAACTCAATGTTGGAACTTTGAATTAAAGCCTCTGTGAACGAGGACGGGTCTAAACAGAATCTGGCTCTCAGGAGGCCCGACGCCGTTTCTTAATAAGTTGCAAAAACGTTTGTAGAAGGGTAATGTACCTCGTACTAGTTGGGAACATTTCACAACATCTGTGTGAGGATGATCAACTGTTATCTCAAAACCTGCAACCAAACCAGCATCAAGTCAGTAAAACACACACAGAACGTTTCACCCCGTCACCACATCAACATGGAGCCCACCCCCCACGTATGGCCTTCTTTGGCTGTAGATGAAACGTGACGCTGGGTTAGGAGTGCTCACCCAGCGTTTGCAGCACTATTGTTTCCAAGGCTACGAGCTCTTGTGCCAGCAGCTGGAATGCCTGAAAAAGATCAATAAAGGGTGAAAAATGGGCTTTCCTGCAAGCACAGTCTGATCCTGCAGCTATGTGGACAGAGGATTGATTCTTGACTACTTAAAGCAAAAGTTCGTAAAACTCGAGTCTGTACGAAGACTTTTAACGAAACAACCGTGTGATGTCAGAGACACGATAGCGTCGAGGTTTAGAGCCCCGGCTGAAACCAACACGTGGAAACTCCTGGATAACTTAGAAACAATCTAACCTAAAAGCGCGTTACATGGGATGTAGGAAAATATCGATATTGCAATATATCGTGATTTTTTTCTCCTAGCAATATTATATCGATATTCAAACGCTGTGTATCTCATTTTTGGAAGAATTTACATGCAAACATTTGTATATTTTATTTTCTTTATGTGCAATTCAAACGCTGACCGCTAGTTAGCAGCAGTGTGTCATGGGTTTTGTTTCCACCATTGAAATGTAAATCACCCAGTAGGGTTCAGATACCTCATAGTAAACATATTGAATATTCCCACAATACATTCAGTAAGAAAAAAAATTGCTAATAACGTCTGACTGAATGTATCGCAATATATTGCAATATATTGTATCGTCTCCTCGTATCGTATCGCCAAAGTTACACCCAATACACATCCCTACATGTTACGGCTCAAACTCAACTTGGATTTTTCTTAAATCCGTATCAACTATGTCTTTGATGGAAATTTATTCTGGCAAATCTAAATTAAGCATCAAGTTGTCAAAAAAGCGGAGTTCAAAATTTAAGGCTACTACAGGTTACGATGCTATAAAAGCAGAGAAAAGCTGCTACTGGAGCCAGGAGGATCAACAGTCATTATTATTCCCTGTTAAAATTTGTTTTGGAATTTTTTTAATTTTCAAAATAAGGGTTTTATCATAATTACCAACACATGTAAAATGTTTATTGTCACCAGCGCACAAATTTAGACAGACTCCACAGGGTGATATTAGGCAGGAACAATAGAATAAAATCACAAACACACTGAATGTGCTTTTCAGGTGTGTGTCTAGTAGAACACTTGTTTTTGTAACCATTGATGTCTTTTTGAAATGTTTGGATGTGTGTTAAAGTTACTCAGTTGATAAAATGTAAGCAGTGTACACACATGCTAATCTAGGCTAACTGCTAAACATGACACCAAGATGTGTGTGTTAGATAGAAATGTACTTTTTCCATTTCTGTTCATTGCAGTTATGGTAATAAAACATTTATAACGATCTTCAGATAAGAAAAGCAAGCTTTGGGTAGAGATTCTTCTGTTTGTTTTAGTCGTTTGCTAACTGGCTAGCTACACGAGGAGAGCTTATGTTCACTAATGGGCTAATTAGGCCCGAGCAGTGAAGCTGCGAAGGCCTATTGTATCTGCTGTTTTTTTTCTCTCTGCGTCTTTGAATGGCTTTTTGGGGGTCTTATCATATCCAAAAACTCACCAAAGTCTGGCCCAATATAGAAAGTGTGTGAAATTTACGTATTTCAATGGCGATGTGAAGGTTGCTAAAAAAAAGTAGCTCGACAGCGCCCCCTTGAAAATTAATAATACCCCTTCGCTTTGACCTTTTTTTATAGTAGTGATGAAATTTGGTACACTTGTAGAACTCAACAATACGCACAGAAAAGTCTCTTGTACCCATGGTCAATATCAAACAGTAAGTCGGCCATTCTGGACTGAAGTAGCGATTTTGACCTCATTTTGGTCGTTTGTAGGGTCTGTGTTTGGTTGAACAGTTTGGTCAATTTTCGCACGATCGTCTCAAAAATAGTGTGCGATTGATCAGAAGTGATGGACGATTTAAATGAGAAAATAAACTGACTTTTCATAAATAGTGAAGGGGCGGGACCAGGCCTCGAAACTCGAGCACTCGCCAAAAAAATTCAAATGGCTATAATTTCATAAAAGAAAGAATTACAGTAAAAAAAAAACATTTTTGTGGACATTCCTCATCGGTCCCCAAAGAAAAATGAATGGTCGATTGATGATGTCACATAAGCCCCGCCCCCAGGACTAAAAAGGTCATGTTTTACTGTGAAATTTCCCAAAATTTGCCATTTCGCAAAATCACCATAAACTTGTAGCAGATAACTGAAGACAAGTTGGGGTTCCTGCGCCTCACTTTATGGGAGCTTTCAAAAGACAGAGCGGCTGTGATGGCGCGGCGAAGTCAGGCGTAACGCCATGGCCATACGATTGCCTCTCATTTTGTCAATTCTAAAGCTATCGCCACGAAATTTCTGACGAGGGATCCTAGCATGATCCACAATAAAACTTGAAATCAAAAGTCGATAGGCGTGGCCAATTTTTTTAAATAGCGCCCCCTAGCACCCTTAAAAGTGCCAGCCCCAGGCCATGCTTTGACTGAGGATTGTGAAATTTTGTACACTTATGTAGTTTCTCAGGACGTACAAAAAACTCTCCTGAAGCCATGCTCAATATCCCACAGGAAGTCGGCCATTTTGGTCCAAGTACGCCATTTTGTGTTTTTTGCACATTTCAAAGGTACGTCAATCCCCAAGCTCCCTTTGCCCCCATCGCCTTCACACTTCAGCTGAAAACTCTTAAGACCAAGCGGGAAAAACTGAACCTACGGATTTTCCAAAAGTCTAACGGTGTGGGCGTGGCTAGGCCTCAAACTTTGACCTGTCACCACACAATGCTTAACTGTCAATGCTCCCAAATTGATTCTTTTAACCTAATCAACATGAATCTCTGGCAATAGCAGTAGATATGTTGGGGTCATTTGGTTTCCAGTACTGGCAGGTTTCAAAAAAAGGCAAGGCTTTGGGGGCATGGCGAATTTTGACATCAAGCCATGGAATTACGTTTGCCTCTCATTTCCTCAATTCTAATGCTATCGGCCCAACAATTCAGGTGATTGATACAAATCCAAACCTCAATAATTACCCTGAATATCTGGTGGGCATAGGCGTCATTTTAACCGGGGACGCTGGGGACATGTCCCCGGCAAAATTTGTGATTGGCAGCTGTGTCCCCCCCACTTTCAAAAACGCCTGCTGATGAGGATTTTTGTTTTACCAGCTCAGATCTTATACCAGGGGTCGGCAACCTGTTCCCATCAAAGAGCCATTATTACCCGTTTCCCACGGTAATTTTGGACGGACCTTAATAAGCAGTGACTTAAGTGAAGCAGGCAGGTCGCGCTAGAAAATTTCGTTTAAAAAGATGTCATAAATGTGTTCCCCCGTCATTTTTATTACTAAAATATGAAGTAAAAACTCACAATTTAATTTTCATTCATTTGTCATTAATATGTAGTCTACACCCGTGCGTTAAGTGGACCATCTTCCAGTAAACGCAAAGCATCCAGTCCACCTCTCCAAATGCGTAAAATGTGCATCAGCCGCTAGTTAGGCGCGCGCACCATCAGCTGATCGGCCCAGACAAGAGCAGAGCGACTAGAGAAAGAATAGAGGATAATTGTGTCTGGATGTGGATGGAGATTACATTTTACAGCAGCCTGATCATCATTTAAACACTTAAACCATCACCTGTCTTCTAGTCCACGCTGTCAGCATTATTTTATATTTTAATTGGTGTGTGTGTGTGTGTGTGTGTGTGTGTGTGTGTGTGTGTGTGTGTTTTCCACTTCAAACACTGGTCTAACCAACCAGACCAGCGTGTCCAGTAACATATTAATGTTACAATTAAACAGTTACACTTCATGTAGGCTAGGAACGTTTCACCTGCCGTGGCCCGACCGCTTCTGCTCCACATAAACTTTGTGCGTGATCAAATGTCTCTACGCGTCATGCGTCTCCATATTAGAGACGGGAACAAGCGCTGTTCAGCCAAAGTTTCATCATTTCATAAAAAGAACATTTTCCAAGTGACACATCCCTCAGAGAGACCGGGTTTCCAGACTGTTTCAGTGGGAGGAAATCATCGCATGCGCGTGGTTCTGCACTGCGCTGCAAACCCCAGATCTTCAGCTCACTGTCCACCGGGGGCGCTCCGAGCCGCGCTGAACACAGTGTCCAGTATAAAGAGCTCTGATGTTCTGATGGGAATATTTTACCTCCGCGATGTGCGTTAACGATTAAAATGTCAGCTCATCCATGAGCATCCGTGTGCGTCTGGGTAATTATTTCAAACCAAGCAACATCCTTGAGTTCATCTGTCAAAATAAACAGTCAAATGGAAATATATGTAACCTGCCGTTTAACTGTTTTGCCTTCCTGTGAAGATTGTTGCAAAGAGAAACAATTAAACTTGATTAACCCTAGAGCCACGCAGAGAACCATGCAGTGCGCATGCGGGAAGATTCCTCCCACTGAAGCGAGTGTTTTCCAAACCCTGTCTCTCAGAGAGACTTGTCACTTAGAAAATGTTCCCTGATGATGAAACTTTGGCTGAATAGCGCTTGTTCCTGGCTCCAATGTGGCGACACATCTAGGAGCCGTCTGAGGAGAAGCCCAGAATCTGACATCCTCTTCAGCTCATAAAGTGCCGATGTGATTACGCACAAGCGTGACCGGTCAACCACCGCAGACCGGGTTGGACCTGTTCAGGTTTACGCAGACAATCTACATTTAGAATTGGCATACAGGTGTAAAATTAATGCAGTAAAATATAAAGCATTTCATTTAAATATCCATTTATTATTTTACAAGCACAGAGAGCTTCATCAGATGGATGGAAGAGCCGCATGAAGCTCCAGAGCCGCGGATTGCCGACCCCTGTGCTAGCCTACTTTATTGTCCCCAGCAATTTTTAAACCCCACTCAAATGTATGGTTATTGTCCCCAGCAATTCTGAAAACAAACTGACGCCCTTGCTGGTGGGTGTGACTTAGTTTCTTCACTAGCGCCCCCTGGGTCCAATAAAAATGTCAGCCCCAAGTGATGCTTTGACTGAGGATTGTGAAACTTTGTAAACTTATGTAATGTCTTAGGACCTACAAAAAAAAACTCTTGGAGCCATGCTCCATATCCCACAGGAAGTTGGCCATTTTGGTCCAAATACGCCATTTTGTGATTTTTGCACACGTCAAAGGTCAACGCCACAGTGCCCCTTAAACCCATCACCTTCATGCTTCTGCTAAAAACTCTAAAGAAAGCGTGAAAAACTGAACCTACGGATTTTCCAAAAGTCTAACGTTGTGGGCGTGGCTAAGCCTCAAACATTGACCTGTCACCACACCATGCTTATACTTTCAGAGCTCCCTATTGGACTCCTTTCATCTATTCAACAGCAATCTCTGCCAAATAGCAATACACAAGTTGGGGTCACTTGGTGTCTAGTACTGGCAGGTTTCAAAAAAGGGCAGGGCCCTGGGAGCATGGCGAAATTCGCCATCACGCCATGGAAATACGTTTGCTTCTCATTTCCTCAGTTCTCATGATATCACCAAAAGATTTATGGTGAGTGATCCTAGTCTGACCCTCAATATAAATAGATGTCATAAGCTGGTGGGCGTGGCCTTTTTTCTGAAAAAGTGCCCCCTATGACCATTAAAACTCTCAGCCCCAAGTCATGCTTTGACTGAGGACTGTGAAAATTTGCACACTTATGTAGTGTGCCTGGGCCTACAAAGAAGTCTCATGGAGCCATGCTCCATATCCCACAGGAAGTCGGCCATTTAGTACCAATTACGTTACAGAGTCTCTTTCGAAGCTGGAATATTTTGCTAATGTAAAACATTTTTAGTGGGGACGGTTGGCAGGCTAGGAGGAAAGGTTGAGTCAGATTGAGGTTAAATGCACGCTGGGGTGTCTGGTGGGCATGGGCGCTCGTGCGCCACCGGTTGCAGGGCGATGGGAGAGCGTATGGGATGGAGTGGAGGGGGGTACGGACGGAGGGCGAGCAGCTTTGCTGCGAGGGCCGAACGACGCTGCTTGCAGCTTTAATTTGAACTTGGAATGTTGTGCAAAACAAACTCAAACATCTCAAAAACCTGACCTCAGATCTGTTATATTTGGACATTTTGAAAGTTAGATGTATAAAATGTGTATGTAACTGCTGTCTCCTGACAAGATGGGTGAAGCCATGAAAGTTAAGTGACAGAGTGACGCAGATCTGTCGGGCTTTTCCAAACGGTGTGTTTATCATCTGCAGCTAACGCAGGAAACAGGGCTAGAAGATTCTTTTCACGTTCAGCCTGCAAGTGAAACTCAAAGAGACCGATCGTTTTTCAAAAATGAGTAAAAAACTGTTTCCCACTGAACTTGGCTTGGACCACACTGTGATTTTCGCCCATCTAAGCCAAACCCCTCGTGCAGCAGAATCATGACAAACAGTGAACGTGAGGGTGATTTCCATATCTGAACGTACAGTGACCGGCTCTGCAACAGCTTTCTGAGCCGTCTCACGACCAAAGACAGTCTCCAAAAGTCTACAAGCACTGCTTGAAATCCTGCCACTCCCGTCTGCAATCGGCCAATGGAAATGAACCTTTGGGACGCCGTAGCATGAGGTATGAGTTTGGGTTTTAATTTATGTTTAAAATGCGGATTTTAAACTACACACAAATTTTTATTTTTGTTAATAGTCCGAGCTAAACCGGACTCACACTTAAAACAATTAAACTACCTTTTTACACCACCAGATGAATTGTGAAGCTGTGATTCTGCCATCTGTGAGAGTGGCCGACGTCCTCAGGAATGTGAAAAATTTAAAGGAGGAATGTCCGACAGACAGCTCGGCTAGAAGATGGGAAAAGGCGACTCGCAGCAGAGTCTGAGGCCAAAGCGAGGGTTTGGAAAAAGATCCTTCCTCTTTGAGGAAGATGAGCTGAATCATGAGCTGACACTAAAAAGAACCGTTAACGGCTGCACTTATGTCTCTTTTCAGCTTGGTTTTGGTTAGCGGCCTGCTTAGTGACGTAGCATGTCCCGATGGGGCGAGTGAGTTATGGAGTCTGCCTCACTAAAAAACGCACCGTGTGATCCCAAAAAGCAGCTTTGCATCACAGGGTTGTGCAGTTAATCAAATCTGTACTCACAATTTTACTTTAGGTTCTAAACAATCACAAAACCGGCATTTTACATTTACATAATAATAAAGCGGTGGCTGTATTTCTGCTACTGCAGCCTCTCCTGTCTGTGAGGGGCAGAAGGGTTACGGTGAGCCGAGGGAGCGGGGGCGGCTGCAGGCTCACAGCAGAACATTCAATGTTTACGATCTGGGAAAGAAAAAAACGATCGATCAGAACTGAACTGAGTCCTATGAAAAGAGAGGAAGCGAGCTAGCGTTAGCCTGACTTTTCGCCAACTCTACCAGGAAAACACCAGAGGAAAGATGTCGGGACAATAACGAACAATAAAGCGTTAAGGTGAAGCTCTGCTACAACACATTGAAGGAGTTACGCTACAGAACTTCTGGTGCACAATCAGAAGGCGTCATCTCCAGGAACATCCTCACCGGTAGGGCTGTCACGGTAACCGGTGTAGCGGTAAACCCCGGTAAAAGAGTTGACAATAATAATAACCGTCTTGTTTTTTAAAAACATATATTATCTCGGTGGATTACCGTGGCTGCGGTGCAAGCGCGGTGACCCTTACCAGCCACCGTATCATCTGCTGAAGCTGCCGGCAGCACATGCGCACTTTGTTGTTTACAACCAAAACTTTCTTGAAGCTAAAGCTGAAATAATGGCCAAAGGAGGAGACGGCAGCGCTCAGGACATTTATTATCCCTCAAAGAAGACAAAGTCGGAAGTACGGGCATTTTTTGGATATTTGAAGAATGCAGAGGGACAGTTTATAGAAGACGGCTATCCTGTTAGCAGCACGTGCAGAAAAAGTGTCTGTGAAAGGCAGCAATGCTTCAAATCTCATGACACATCTGCGTGACCATCACCCACAACTCTACAGTCAACGCAAGGCAAGCTAACGTTAGCGTTTTAGCTAAAATGCGTGATCCGAGGATTTGGGTTGAGGGAGAAGGCAACGAGTCGCTATATAAAGCAGCCGCAGCGCCGCTACCTGCATATAAACCGTGTCGCGGACACCGCCATGTTGAAATGACGCCATGCATTACGGGGCTCCCAGGGGCAGATAAGAGTTGGTCTCTCTCCGAGAATAATTATGAATTTAACAATGACTACTGCCTGATGACATTTTCCCACATCTGCAAAGCTCACTGGAAGGACACAAACCGAGGACAATATTTTCCTGATATAGGGTTTATTACTCAAGTAAGGGTAAAAAAAAGTATCTGATTAGAAGGCTACTTGAGTACTGAGTATCATCTGATCTAATATTTTTAAAATGATGACATCAAACAGACATAAAATAAGAAGTTATGGGCAAATATTGGTATTTTAAAGGCTAAAGGGGAAAAATGTAAACAAATAAACAACATAATTACAAAATAACACATTTTAGGCTAAATTTAGACACAAACTGAGGACAATATTTCCTGACATACAGGGTTTATTTAGTTGTCTGAAAATGTAACACGTTTAAAAAAATACCGCGATAATACCGAAAACCGTGGTAATTTTGGTCACAATAACCGAGTTATAACTGAGGTTACATTTTCACACCGTGACAACCCTACTCACCGGTGACTTAAACAGGAAACACGTTTAACCGATTATTTACGTAATAAATTAATTTTACCCGCTGCTCCGTTTCTTTAACAAATTTGACGTTTGATATAAACTCGCCTCAGAATAAGGCCGATTTTTGGTGAAAATAACATTAAACGTTTTGTATACACTCAGTAGATTTCAGTGATGACTACAATGAGGATATTTTTTACAAGCCTAACTGTGAGCTCTGACATATTTAAGCCACTCTTCTCTCCCTGCAATCATAAGAAAAACAAGACAGAAGACACCTACCGACTGTCCGGAAGGAGCTGCATCTTTTGTTTAGCGTTTGGATATTTTGCAAATGGCGTATTTTGTTGACAGAGCAACAAAACATGCTGGTAGGTTAGTGACATCGCTGCTCGTAACAGGACATTTCTGCACGGTTGCGTTAAAACTTGTATCGTTTTCTTTCAGAATGCAAAATCTGTTTTAGCCGCCACTGATGTGAAATCAGACAATGAAAAGGCAGTCTTCTGAGGAAAATAACTCTCTGGAAGCTTTTTTTAATTCAGGATGTTAGTTTTATGAATTTAGGAGACAAGGAAACCTCTCTCTCTCTCCCAGGGCCCTGGCGTACTCACGCTGCTCTTGGTGTCCAGGACAGGCTCTTGTGGGTTAATGAAGGCATGAGCTATTTTAATGACATGCTCCAGCTTCCTGGGCTGCTCCTCAACCTTGGCTGCCAGGAATAACGTAGTCTGGGAAATGATCTGTTCCAGGAAAGATGGAGAAATAAATACGTCACTTTATCGCCGTTTAGCTCACCAGGGGTACAGGTTGAGCTTCCTGGCGGGTCTGCTTACATTTCTATGGAACTTTTTGAAAGAATGGATCATGTAGAACCTGTGCATATAAACTATAGCGGTGTTAATGATGAGTTGAGACCTGGGCGTCGAGTTAAGGACAAAAACCGGATAGATCTGACCGACTGAACGTGCTTTGATCGAGCAGACATCTAGAATAATCAGAGTTAACCTCATGTAATCTGGATTTTTGCCTTAACTCGATCTAAAGGATGGCGGGGGTTAATTACAGGTTTGTTTAGCAGTCAGTAGACACAAAGCTAACAATAGCTACAGACTGAACAATAGCTACACGTAGGCCCAGACGCTGCTAGCAGCTTAACACCCAGCTAGCTCGGTTTATGTGATGTTTGTTTAAAGATTCTTTACAATAAAGACACAACGTGAAGGTGTGAAGTGAAACAGGAGAATCCTGGAGCTGACAACACGCTTAGATCAGAAAACCGTTGCTAGCCGGCGAGGCGCTGCGCCTCACAAAGGATACACGTTGAGTCTCTGGCCGATGTCCTGGATCAGGTTAGCGGCCTGCTGCCGGTAAGAGAGCTCGCTGTCGGCCTCGATCCCGCACCGTCGAGACGGCGTATTTTCCAGCTGCTCCCGGGAGAAAAGCCATTTCGTAGAGGGTCCCCGGTGCACCGCCATTACGCTCCCACGGCCAAACCCGACGGTGTTTGCACCGGGAGGGAGCGAGCCGACAGCAGCGCCGGAAAAACGACACCGAGAAGCCGGTCTGGCCCGAGGAGCAGCGTCTGCTAACAGCGCCCCTAACGGTCGGAGGGGGAACGTCTCATTAACTCGACCGTATTTTCTTTTAAACATCAAAAATTCTTATCTTATTTACGGAGTAGCTAAACATACACATTCAGGAGCTCTGCATTGGGTTGAGTTTGTGTCAGTTTTCTGAATTATTTACAGGAGAAAATAAATAAATTTGCTATAACGGAAATGGCCCCACTGATCCATTTCATAAAAGAAAAAGATGTTCATATATATATAAAAAAAGACATTTCAGTTTTTGTCCTATTATGCATATCAAAATTAAAATGAATGAATACTGCCCCATTATTATTTTTGTCATTATTAGTTGTATTTTCATGCCAACCAAAAATCTACTTTTACAATATTTATAAAAACAAAAATAAGGTCTGTTATGTGCTAAATATAAATATGGTAACTTGTGTGCACCTACAAACACACACACACACACACACACACACACACACACACACACACACACACACACACACAGAATATTACCAGAAAATCTTCAACTAAATACTTGATAAATTCGTTGTGAGAAAATTATTTCAAATGCCAACTGGGCTAGACTTTGAGCAAATGTGAATTAACTCTGCATTGACAATTGTGCAAGTATGTGCATTCATGCATACTTACAAAGATATGGATATAAATGTATACAGTTGTGTATGTATGCAGGTGTACTGATATTTTACTTTAAGAAATTACTATGCAACGCAGATGCAAAGGGAAATTGAGACAGAACTGGATAAGTCAATGCTTCTTCCTGCTCCATTTTTGAATGCCTTTTGTTTTGATTAACAACTTTTTTGGATGGAAATTTAATGTTTTTAACTTTTTTTCAGTATTCAATGTGTTAAATAAATAAATGACATGAATGAAAAGTACCTTACGCCAATTGAATGTAAAGATGGTACATTTTCAATATATCTTTACATTAGGGTAGACATTAAAGGTTTAAAAACAGTTTTTCCAAATGCTGCTCCATCTTTAATTTTTTATTTAAATGAATTCAGTGAAACCATTCATCCATCCATTTTCCTCTTCTCATCCGGGGTCGGGTTGCGGGGGCAGCAGCCTAAGCAGAGAGGCCCAGACTTCCCTTCCTCCAGCCACTTGGGCCAGCTCCTCCGGGGGAATCCCAAGGTGTTCCCTGGCCAGTAGAGAGACAGTCCCTCCAGAATGTCCTGGATCATCCTTTAGGTCTCTTCTCAGTTGGATGTGCTGGGAAACTCAGCAAGGAGGCGACCAAGAGGCATCCTAATCAGATGCCAGAACCACCTCAACTGGCTCCTCTCAATGTGGAGGAGCAGCGGGTCTACTCTGAGCCCCTCCTGGATGACCAAGCTTCTCACCCTATCTCTAAGAGAGATCCCAAACACCCTGCGGAGATAACTTCAGCCGCTTGCAATCTAACTTTTTCAGTCGCTCCCCAAAGCTCATGACCATAGGTGAGGGTAGGAACGGAGATCGACTGGTAATTTGAGAGCTTCGCCTTCTGGCTCAGCTCTCTCTCCACCACTGTAGCCTCCGGACATGGTCTGTTTTTCAATCTACAGGTCACCTCTTCAGTATCGGGTCATTTGGAGACATAAGTCTTAACTGGTGCTTTAATCTGCAAGAAGATGCTGTTGCTTCAAGGTCCTTCCAAGCTCACTCTTATCTAAGACTGGTTTTTATTCACAACACAAGACGGATGAACTTTAAAAATTAAGTCATATAATGAACAAGACGAGTAAATAATCATATGGTTCAATGAACAATAATGACTGAAGGATAATAACAATGTTCTGATTAATCTGTGTTAAATTACGGTGGATGAATAATATTATGTTATGATCAGTAATTTTAGATTTAACAAGTGAATCACTATCTCTGACAGCTCACACACTCAGACACGTAACAATGACAAGGTTAAGCTAATATCCTGACACATTGCTTTCTGTTCCACCAATCAGAACTCCCGTATCTGACGCGAGACGCGTTTTCTGAGGTTTGTTGGTAAAAACCCTTCTACATGTCAAATGCTGATTTGTTAGAAAATCAAAATATGACGATCATTAAAATCGGACTCACTTCACCGTGAGTCAGTTCCAGTTCTAGTTCTTGAGAAAGTTCCGGACCGGCCATCCGGGGCAAAACCTCTTTAACCCAGAGCATCTTTTGACAAGCTGTCAAAAGCCTGTTGCAAGCCACAGCTGACTGCAAACGGTTCCTTCAGAACAAAGCTGAACCAACTTCAACTCCTTAAGAGTTTTTCCTAACTGTCATGACCTGAAGACAACTCGAGACCGGGAAAGTCGGCACTGCGGTTTCTTCTACGGACTTCGGTACCTCTGGGGCCCCCGGACCTCAACATTCCGGATCTACCGCGGGGGTCTCCAATCAGGGTACGTAGACTCGACAGATTGCGTCTCGTGTGATTTTGATGAGAACCAACTTTGTTAAGTTTAATGCAGACCAAATTCACTCCCACTCAGAACTCAGTTTCTCCAGATACGAAGGTTCTGATGACATCACATTCACACATCATCACACCTCACATTCCATCCACTCAGATCCAGTCATAACATTAACTGTCCTAGTTGTCATGTTTTAATTGTTTAGAAAATAAATTTCTTGCTTTTTATAAACTTGACTCTGTTCTTGTATTAATACGAAGTGTCTTACGATCCCTGAATAAACAAAGAATTATAAATCTTCTGGTTAAACACTCAAAGACCAATCCGACTGGATTTCCAAATTTATCTGGAAATTCACATCACATTGGTCAAAGTGTAGAGTAGTATATTAAGCTTTAAAAGCACCCAAATACATACAATAATTACCCCGCTACACCACGGCAGACCGGTACAACGTCTGCATCACTGCACCAATCCGCCCGTTGATAGCCTGCCCCTTCTTTCCCTCAATCATGAGCAACTTTAAACCGTAAATATAAATAACAAAGCAACGAAGGTCGAATGTCAAATGTCAACATATCATATCGTACTTTTAAAACTGTGGTTCTGAACTCATCTTCATTTCTAGAGCACATTACAATAAGCCGTTTACAGAATGACTAAAGTGCTATTCGCCTCTAAAGACACTTTAAAACCAAAGAGCTTAACAATTTAAAACTTTTAAGGGAACAAATACAATGTATGGAGTTTGTGTTTGTTTTTTAACGCTTGTGGGGTTGGGATCGTAGAACCAATCACAACATGGACAACAAAAGCAGACAAATGCAAAAACCCAACTACAGTTAATCACATATTTATTAGTGTGAATTTCATTAAAAGTGTGACGTATCATCAGTCATAAACACAAGCAAAAAAAATGACCTAATAAAATAAATGTGTTTGTCACAAGCGAAAGTTTATGTGCTTGGGAAATGTATTTTGTTAGTTCAGACACCATTATCACAAATGTAGGTTTGCATAACAGTAAATTCACAGTTCAGTTCAATAAATTGTAAATATAGAAACAAGAAGCTAAACTGTTGGAAAAGATAACTTAGGGTGATCATATTCCCATTTCCAAAAAAGAGGACAGGGGATCGGTGTCTATGACGTCACACTATGGCAATGCCACACAAACCACGTTGGGACCCATTTCTTTGCAAGAACTAAAATTAATATCAGATTCTGCCAATAAAAGGGCTCTAAAACAATAAATATGTAAATAATTTGCATATTTATTGCAAAATCTCATTTTTCTGTTTTAGTGCTGCAACAAGGTTGTATTAATAATAAATTATTATATCTTTTGTTTTACTACAGCATCTGTAAGCTTCCTGTGCACAGATCATTAAGGATGCTTGTTTCAGCTGTGAGATTAGACGATAGGATCAATGAAAAAATAACTTGTCACACACTCCATGGAAACTTTCAGAGAATCCACAAATAGTGGCTTTCAAATGGTTTTGTTACTTTTTGCAAGTTTAGAAAAGCAGCAGATGAGAAAGCATGTCTGATAAGTTAGTTTTTCATCTGATAATATGAGAACTAGGAATGGGTACCTTTGACATTTGAATCGATTCATTACTAATTCCCGGTACCTAGGAATCGATACCGGTACTTAATGGTACCAATTTTAGATACTTTTGAGTGTTTAATATTTTAATTCTCTTTTATAATTACATATATATTTTTCTCAATATATAACCATATTTGATAAATATCACGATAAATAACATACAACTGTTTGTATTTTAACATCGTCCTTGTAGTTTTATAAGCTGATAATTAAACTGAAGCAAACATCTTTACTGTGAACTAAATTTACTGTGTATCTTCATTCCTTTTGCCGTCCTTTTTCATTTGATTTTTTCCTACTGGGAAGTTGGAATTTCCGAGGAGAAAGCGAACGCACCATTAGCTGATAACAGTGGTGGCAATGCAAGCTAACATATCAAGCTAACGTTATCTTAAACAGTTAATTTAACTGCTGGAGCAGATTAAAACGATGATGCCTCACACTTAGATCGTTGTCACTGGTTTCATCTTCACCCAATCACCCATCGCATTTAATTAAATTCAATTCAAGTTCAATTCAAGTTTATTTATATAGCACCAAATCACGACAAGAGTCGTCTCAAGGCACTTCACATAATAAACATTCCAATTCAGGTCAGTTCATTAAGCCAATCAGAAATAATGTTTCCTATATAAGGAAACCAGCAAATTGCATCAAGTCACTGACTTACAGCAATCCTCATACTAAGCAAGCATAAAGCGACAGTGGAGAGGAAAACTCCCTTTTAACAGGAAGAAACCTCCAGAGGATCCTGGCTCAGTAGAAACAGCCATCCTCCACGACTCACTGGGGATCGAGAAGACAGAGCAGGCGCGCGCGCACACACACACACACACACACACACACACACACACACACACACAAACAAAGACAAAGTAATGTGTCTATAGTTATATTGTGATGTCTTAGTAAATATTCTATTTGGTGAGAGATAAACTTTATTTTATTTATCCTAGTGGATCTATAATTAAACGGATTAGCACATCCAACGTCAAGGAAAGCAAAAAGTTATTATCAGGAGAAGGAGAATGTTTAAGTGGTTAGCAGCAGTGTGCTAGACAACGTGCCCGCCTCACAGACTAAAGCTGGGAGCTGGTTCCACAGGAGAGGAGCCTGATAACTAAAAGATCTGCCTCCCATCCTAATTTTAGATATTCTGGGAACCACCAGTAGACCTGCAGTCTGAGAGTGAAGTGCTCGGTTAGGAACGTATGGAACAATCATGTTGTCATCTACCGGATGGGTACCGAATTCGGTACTTTTTAAGGTACAGACCGAATTCCACAGTACCGAGCGAGCACCGATTCACTTCATTTGAAACGGTACCTTGTTTCGGTACCCGTCCTTCACAACGAGAACTTGCCTAGACAGCTGTGCATGCGCAAGAGCGTTATGTCTTTGGTTGCTGCGAGCGAGTTGTAAACAGCAGCATGATAGATAGAATGAAAGTATTTAGTTTGTATTATTTAAAGTTATTAAAACATTTTTCCTCGTGTCTTCTTGGTGCCCTTGGGGGCCCAAAGCAGTCGCATAATTTGCATATGCCTTGGACATGCTCTGAAGCATCTGTCTAAGAAAGTCACAGGAAAATTTAGATCAATAGACAAACCAATGAGATCAATTTAAGTCCATTCAGAAGAAGGTCTAGATTCTTTAACAACTGTTAAAAATTTGATTGAATGTATGTGCACCTGTTTATAAGTCAGTTGAAAGCACGGCTGATACCAGCAACATGCAGTGATGACTCGTGCGTATCTTTGTTAGCAGCTGCGGCTTTAAAGAGACAATGTGTAGTTTTTACCTTTATTCTCAAGAGACATCCATCAAAATGTTGTTGAAAATGAATTAAATGATGCCCAGTTGTTAAAAATTATTGGCAGCTTAGTAACATAACCATAAAAATGGAGTCTAAAATACATGGCCTAAGTCTCTGGGCGAAGCCATGTTATACGCCATGTTTCCTTCTACAGGAGGCTGTGAAGACAAGATGCATTTACTGATTTGTAACAAACAGTAACAAAATGTTCGTAAACATTGTTTTACACATTTACCCATTTGCTCATTGCCAGTGATGAAAGGGAGTCTGATGTGATTGTCTGCTGGAGGTTAAACGATCTGACAAAGTACTCGTTAAATAATTGCGCCGCCGGTGATTTTGGACCCTAATGGCTATCCGTAGATAAGGTCTTACTCGAACACAAATATGCTAGCTTGCTTGGTATGATTTAGGTATGTACTGTCCCCTATCACCAGGGAAAATACTGTACTGCAACAACTGTTCAATGATTTCCCCAAAAAGTCAATAATTTTAGATGTAGACTATCTAGACTGATGTAACAAACGATTACTCTTCTAGTTTTGTCTCTTTATTGAATTTGCGCAGACTGTAACGTTTATGTTTTATTTCTTTCAGCAACACCAGACTCGACTGTTGGCTAGAACTTCGTGAAAGACCATGACTCTGGCAAGATGCTTCATCAAGTAGTTTCCCGGGTAAAAAAGAGGAGGAGATGAGGAATCCTTCAGACAGTGCAACATCTGTTGTTTACCTGACTCCAGTGTTTATGCTAAGCTAACTGCGCTACACTTCAACCCACATTAAAGCGTTGAGTTTGTCTCTGGCTCAGACAAATGTATCCCGACTGTATGCATGACCGGTCTTTGTTGTTGCTCTGGTGGTCTGAATCCTGGCTGAATAATTCAGTGGAGGTACCAAAGTCACTCTGGATGATGGTGGCTGCATGTAGGTCCGTTTGGTGCGAGCCGTGACGTAAGACGCAGGTCCATAGGTTCTGTTGGAAGGATTTCTGTATTTGAAACAGAAGATGAGGTTATTTCTAGGCTGTTCTTTAGTCTTTAGTGTAACCACACAGCATAAATAGTTTAGGTTTTATATTAACCTTGATTGAAGTCCATCTTTTCCAGAGAAGAAAGTCAACACTGCACCTCCTCCAATCAGAAGAATGGCTCCTCCCCAGCCAACAAAAATTGCAGCGCCTAGTTCAAATCTAAACAAGAAGAGCTGTTTCAGCACTCATGATTCTTTATACTTTATTGTTATCTATTCCTAATTTCAAGTATATCTTATAGGTACCCCTGAAGTTGAGTGTCAAGTGGGGAGGCATTGGGTACCATTTTTAGGGTCATGACCTGACTGTAATTTGAACCCCAATCTGTGTCAGTCCATCAGACTGGGAAGGTATAGTATACATAGGTACTGAGTGTAAAGTCATATAATAAAACTAACATATTTTGTCACATCAAATAGAAATGCAAAGAATTAAATCTAGCAGTTTAAATTTACATGTTGATTATATATTTAGTTCAAAACATATAGATGGTCCAAAATTTGTTTTCAACCATAATACAGCAACGTGGATGGCCTCATTTGTGACCCAAAGCTCATACTTCCTTAGCTGGGTCAAGCTGTCCTGGCTGTACTTCTCTTTACAGATTATCCGTTACAGGAGACACAAAGTCTGCTGCAAACCATCATTAATCTGACTGCCTTTTTCTGACTGCTGTTCCATCCGCAAGATGAAGGACACTTCAAGATTTAAAAGAGTCATTTTTAATAAACTCTTTTCACCATTTATTATAATGTTCATAAATAATCATCATGGTTCATTATAAAGGTATTTAATAACTGAAAATAATTATTTTTCTTTGGTTAATAATAATTATTATTTATGATAATCAGTAATGTTTAACAATGACAAGAAGGTCATGTGCACTTACACACACCATGCAGGACACAGTAAATCAGGTTAAAGGTAACTGTATTCACATGTCTTTGTTCCATAACACCAAAGCTTTCCATCTTGGGAGGGCGTGTTCTGAGGTATGTTAAAACCTAAACTCCTCAGTTCAAGTTCTGTTCTTGAGCTCACCAAAATACTCTCCGTGGCCACGAGAGTTCCAGAGTATCGGGTCGGCCGCTTGAAACCTCTACTAAGCTTTTCTGTCACGCTGATAGAATTGCTTCAACAAGAAACACCATCTGCAACAAGCTGACGCAAAACTCCTTGAGAGTTATTCATTTTTGAGACGCAACCAGTTTCGTCAGTCGTTGTGACCCGGAGACATCTCAGGACCGATTTGGTCGCACTACGGTTCTTCTACCCACCTCGTGCTTGGGGGTCATCATCTCCCCCGACATCTCGGATCCAAAAGGGGGTCTCCTAACTGGGTGAGGTAGACACATCCGACAGATTGCGTCTGTATGCCTGTCTTATTAAGAAATAATTTAGCTTAGCTGCAAACCAAACTCGTTCACCCAGATCTCTCTGAGATAGAAACCTTCTGAGACTTACATTCACACATCCAAACACACACATTTCATTTTTAGTTTTCATCCAGACACAGGTTGCTTTAATACCAAGTTTTAATACCAAAGCTTTTATAAATTGTCATTTATGAATTGCCTTTTAAATGGTCATCTTTAAATAGTTAGTAATATATTCTTAATTAAACCTGACTCTTCTTTGACATGAAACACAGAGTGGTGTATATTTGGTCATTGAATGAGCAAAGATTTCTTTAAATCTTCTGAATTAATAAATAAATTTTTGCTATTAATTTGAATCTCTTTAATTAAATATTATATTAATATTTTGATTAAATATAGACCCAGCCAGTTGGTGTATGAACTTCTATTGATTATATAAATATCCTTGGAGATTATATATATATATAATATAAGTTTCATTTGCCAATTCGTTTGATCTTTCTCAGGATTTAGCAAAGCTGAATAGCAAACAGTGTTAAATTCCAGTTATGTAGATTAACTACACTATATATATGTGTGTGTGTGTGTGTGTGTGTGTGTGTGTGTGTGTGTGTGTGTGTGTAATTTTTAATGTTTGTGCTGGTTCAAATATTTCTCACTTTTGTTTCTTGAAGTTTGGATCCACAAATTCTGTGATGATTCTGTTGGCCCACCAAGAGTACGTGATCATACCACAGAATCCTGTTGGAACAGAAACTTTGGTACATTTGGTTTTCTTTTTAAACATATATAAATCAGACCATTTAATATGGTTTTACCTGAAAAAATGTAGGTTACACCACCAGAAAATGTTACTCTTGAATTGATGATCTCCGTCCCGCCAATTTTAGTGCACTTCATACCAATTAGGGTGAGGACACTGCCAAAGAAACCGGTGATGACGGCACAGATCGCAAGTGCTCTGCAGGAATGAAGGAATCCTGAAAGGAAAAAACAAAATGCAACAAAAACACAAGTGTCATGGCTGAAGGCTGTTTGTCATGAGCAGCCTTCTGACTCCTCCTGCACTCATGCAATTAGTGTGACTGGTTCCACCTGATCTCCCCCCTTTATATTCCAGGCTCTGTTGTGCACTCACTGCCAGTTTGTCTGCTGTTCTGAGTGCTCTCTCTCCTGTTGCGGCCCAGATTTGACTGGAACTTGGCTCCCTGTAATCTCCTGAACCAGCTTCGACCCGTGGCCTTGTCTCACACCAGTAACGTGGATTTTTGGATTACCTTTTTTTCCAACTTCTCTGTTTTTGCGCCCCAGTTTTTTGGAGATGTTTTGGAGTTTGGAATCTTATTCTTTCCTCCCTAGTGCTTTCCCATTTTTGTTCAATTCAAATTCAATTCAAAAATACTTTATTAATCCCAGACGGAAATTGATTTGAGACAAAAAGAAAAGGAAATAAAGACTTGCTTGCTTCAAACCAGTTCTGATCTCCTGGTCTGTTCTCGGGGAGTTTCGTTGTCCTGCTCGTGTCAATAAGCAATTTGTTTTTGCACTGTTTTAAATAGCAATTTTAAAAACAACATAAATTTTTATGGACTTGGGCATTTTCAACACGTCTTAAGGCTGTGGTTGGCACTAAATGCACTGTGATTGATTTACTATCGTGTGATTGTTCAGCAAAACAATGTTGATTTTATATTTCTTCATTAGGTTGAGGCAGTGATAGCTTGCTCTTGTTGCATTGTGTGTCTCTTTCTGTCGAGAAGCAGACTCTTGTTCATCAGTGATTGTTTATTTTTAATGTATGGGATGCATAATTCATTTTTAAATTTTTTTTTTAGCCTTCTAAAGGGCTCTTATTTTGCAAGTGTTAACAGATTCAATTAGGTAAGGTGCTTTTATTGTAATAACGGAACATCACCATTTTAAGAGCAACATTTACCACGATAAAACTTTTGTATACATTTGGGCAAAAACAATTTTTGAACCCCTGCTGACTTTCTGAATGTATCCACTAACAATGAAATAATGTGAAGGCCAGTAAAATAAAAAAGATCCAGAAAAATGTACTTCAAAAACGCCATAAAAATTTGCAATCAATTGTGATGAAGGAAATAAGTATTTGATCACCTCAATCAGTAAGAAGATTTTCTGGTTCCCTGGTGTATTTTATACAGGTTTAGGAGCCTTTTTATTAAAGGCTTTTATGCAATGTATTCATATATCAATCAAGAAAATTGAGCATTCTCTTCACAAGACTGTCCGACAACGGAAAAGTGTCTTCAGTCAGAGGCTTCTTCAGTTTCGCTGCAACACTGACCGCTACTGGAGATCCTTCCTGCCAACAGCCATGGTAATATACAACAACTCTTTGGTGACTTGATTATTATTCTGAGCTATACTACAGCAATCAATTTCCCTCTGGGATTAATAAAGTATTTTTGAATTGAATTGAATACATGTAAAAATGTCCTCATTCTCATTTAAATAATTATCAGTTATGTAACGTTCAGAGCCTCTTACCAGGCAGGGCCAGCAATGAAGGGTAGTCTTTACAGTCAGACACCCCCGTGGTGTCCGAGATGCAGTCCCTCCACAGGTTGGAGTAGAAGTTGGAAGTGGTCATCACAACGCTGCTCCCCTCAGAGAACGACCAGTACTCTGTGGGGAGAGTGGAACACACAAGGATCCAACCACACAGGCAGGACACAAAGCAGCCGATCTCCATGTACATAACCACCGTACGGTACTTCATGATGAGGTGCTCAAACTACAAAACGTCTCAGAAAATAAGGGACTACCAACATCTCACAGTGGGAAACAGGACCGAAGGCTCTCTCTGAGGCATTGCTGATGTGTGATGTTACACACTTCTAATGTACATGTTTGTTTTGTGGCTCGTCTTATCTGATTGATGGTTTTGTCTGGTAAGCATGTTTCATGTTCCCAACAAGGATGGTGTAGGATTACATCATCACACAACCTTGAAGAAGAAAGTTTAAGGGGTAGCACTTTTCAAGATGGAAATCACAGGTGCCTTATAAGCCCAATAAAATATATGAAATAACTAAATGGCCTGTATTTGTATAGCCTGGGGTGCACATAATATTTTTGGGTTGGTACTCAGGGGAGAACCTATGGTTGTTGCTTGGTCCTCACATTTTTTTATGCACTTAATTCTTTACTCAACTCACAATAGGAACAAAACAGAGTAACGCGTTGACGATGCAACCTATTTTAATTTTGTCTGAAAACAATAAGTACAACAGGTACATATTGCCAGCTTAACTTAAACCTAATTTTCAAATAACATGACTGAATTGTCTGAATGTAAAACACAATGTGTAAACAGCTGCTTTTGTGAAAACAAAAATCAAATAAAAATAAATTTTAAAGCACTTAACAAAATTACTATTTCAGAGCACTGACGTTTTTTAAATGGCAAAAATGCCGTTTTTATTTCTACAGACTCTCATCATCCTCATCATGATCCTGACTGCGTTCAGCTTCATTAATGACTTCCCGAACAACTTTCTGATGTTCTCTGCTGTTAGTATGTTTATCAAACGCTGGATGATTGAAGTTTTTAGTGATGGGAATTCCGGCTCTTTTTAGAGAGCCGGTTCTTCTGGCTCAGCTCACCAAAAAGAGCCGGCTCTTTCGGCTCCCAAGTGGCTCCTCAGATTTTCAGTTGCGTAGAGTACATTTATAACCAAAATAATGCAAAACTATATGTTAAATGATTTACTAATGTAAAAAATGCAATATATCAAATATTTATCATTTCTATGGATTTAATAACTGAACACTTTAAGAAATCTCCACTTTCCAACTGCTGGTGCTCATTTTCTCACCGTCTTCGTCGCACTCTCCTCTCTCTCTCTCTCGCCTTTTTCCTCATTCCCTCTCGTCTCCCTCCACCCGCATGTACTTTGCTGTGTGTCTGAGTCTGATCCTCCCTCTTCCCCGCCCCCACTGCTCTGTGTGTGGACAGTCTGGACACGCAGTTACACATGTTGACCAATCGCCTGTAGCTTTCACCAAAGCAAGAGGGGAGGGGGCGGCTCCCAATGACGAGCCAGCTCCCGTCGTTCACTTCAAAGAGCCGGCTCTTAGAGCCGGTTCGTTCGCGACCGACACATCACTAGTGCCTATGCAAAAGGCGCTGTTTTTGTCTGCGAGGGTGGGATTTTCACAGCATAATCTGCACCACATCTCTGTGCGTTCATCGCTTGTTTGATGCCAGCTGACCTCCTGCAGCCACTTCTCCGCGAATACTCTTTTCTTTTGTGGTTCCGACTCAGTCTGACGTTTTTTTTGGAGGCGGAGGAACACCAAAAATAATTACATAATGGAGCTTGCTTCTTGGACATCTTTAAAATGCTCCAGAAATGTCTTCCTTCCTCCACAAAGTCTTAGGTGCGCAAATGCGTGCTGCAGCTTTTTTTCAGGTGCGCATTGTTTATTTTGACAGCGCATGCGCACCTGCGGACCACTTATGTGCACACCTGTGTACAGCGCTTCTTGTGGTTCCACAACCCCCATCCCCAAGGCGCTTCACAATGCAATCAGTCATCGACCCATTCACACTCTAGTGATGATAATCTACCATGTAGCCACAGCTGTCCTGGGGTGTACTGACGGAAGCAAGACTACCGAGCACTGGCGCCACTGGTCCCTCTGACCACAACCAGCTGGCAAGGCTGGTTTAGTGTCTTGCTCAAGGACACAATGAGCATTCTCTGGCAGGAACCAATATCAAGCTTACAACCTTTCGATTACTGGTAAACCCGCTCTACCTCCTGAGCTACTGCTGCCCATGAGGGCAAACAAAGGGGCTTGAATATACAGAAACGATACAAGCAAGGGAATAAGCTGAAGAGCAAGAGGTGGATCAACTGGAGGTCTTATTAAAGGTGACCACTGACTAGTTATGGTGTTTACAGAAAAGCACATGGTTATAACAATTCATGGTGAATTTAATACAATACACCATCTCCATCCCCCCACCCCACCCCTCAGTGTTTAAATGCACGTGGAAGTGGGCACCGGCATCAAAGGTGAGGCTAATGAACATACATACCCTCTGACCCTTCATCTTTTTTTTTCTGCATGCAAATGCACCATGAAGTGGAAAACTCCCCACCGAGCCAAAATCACGAAGTGAGCTGATCTCCTTGCTGAGAGTGACAGAACTACCAAACACCTCATTACTGAGTTTGTTGGATCTGCTTTACTGTGTAAAAGGCTGAAGTCACTTTGTTTATGTATAAACAGTAACCAGCTACATCCAAAAGGCCTGAGAACACGTTGATGACATATGCAGGGTAAAGCAACTAGAGAAACTGCTGAGTACCTGCTTTCGTAGCAGCTGTCCGAAACTTTCTTGACGCAAATGTATTTAAATCACAACCCAGCATGCGGAAAGCAGACAATAACAGCATGTTCATCTCCACCAATGAGGTTCCAAAAGTGAGCAATAATATATATGAGTATAAATATATATATATGGAGCCCCAAGATCAAAGTGGGTAACACCCCTTAAAGAGATTGAGAACAAGAGAGCCAAGCGCCTGCAGGCCAGAACGGTAAAATGGTGTTGGCGAACAAATCGGACATTGCGGTGGTGGATAAACAATAGAGGACAGCCGTTGTTGTTGACGTGTCAACATCAGTAAAAACAAACATGAGACACTAAAAAGAAAAAAAAAAGAAAACGATCTTTTCTCTAGCGCACGTTAGGGATTTTCCTAATCACCTAATACCTGCAGCAAAGAGAAAAGAGAGACAAATAACCACACAAGTTACTGTTTGCAAATCAGGGCAGGTGCTCAAGCAAAGGGTTGAGGCTTACACTGTAAAGAACATCAGCCCTTCAAGTTTATTTATAACATGAGATAAGAAAGGAACAGAAGGTGTGTGTGTGTGTGTGTGGGGGGGGGGGGTCTGAATGAATGAGAATGCTTTCAGGCATAGAGTAACACATTTAGGATGATCAAGAAATAATAAAACATAAAATATCTATAACAGCGCCTCTCAAGATAAAAATCACAAGGAGCTTCACAAAAACAAAAAAACTTAAATATGAAAAATATATTAAAAATGATTAAAAACAAGTTTAAAATGACAAAAAAAAAACTTGATTAAAACATGCAAGAAAAGGGGGAGAGAAAATGAGTAGGAAAGAGGTGAGAGTGAAGACATCAGTTGTGCCCGTGGCCATCTGGACACTTAGGGCAGTAACTCCCATATACATACAAGGGGTGGGAACATAACTCATTAATCATGATTAATTAACTAATAACAGGTTTAAATAAATTACCACTTGAGCCCGAGCGCCCCCCAATATCAATAAATATCAAGATGCACCTCTAAAAAACCCTCAGAGCCTGGGCTAAAAAACTGTGCAAACTGTTTTAACATGCTTCAAATACAACTTAAACTACAATTAAATTAATCATGACAAATTGCTCAGGAAGAAAAGAAAGAAAAATCAACTTTTTTAACATTATGTTTTTGTATTTATCCATATAAACTTTAATACAGCAGCAGAGACAAGCATACATGTATCATTTATCTTTATGTAGCATTTAATTCTCAGCAGAAATTTTCCGAAACTCTACACTACACCTCTTTTTACATAGAGAGCTTAAGTTCCTCCTCTTTCGTTTGGCCCATGGATCCTGGGAATAATGAAAAAATTAATGCAAGTCATTAGAGCTATTTTCTAATCCGCTTTGCCTTACCTCCTGCATCACACATATGTTGTAATTCTAACTGGTCTTCCAGGCTGTACTGTGAGACCTCTTCAAATGGTCCAGAACGCAGTGGCGCGTCTGGTCTTCAATCAGCCTTTAAGAGCACACGTCACCCCTCTGTTCATTGAGCTCCACTGGCTACCGCTAGCAGCACGCATCAAATTCAAATTGCTAACACTAGCATACAAAGTCCGAGACGGTACGGCTCCCATCTACCTGAATCCTCTTGCAAAGGCTTACGTCTCGGCCCGGCCGCTCCGGTCATCACAGGATGGTCGGCTAGCAGTGCCTACACCACGCTCAGGACAATCCAGACTTTTCTCATGCATCATTCCACAAATGTGGAATGACCTTCCTAACACTACCAGAACTGCGGCTTCCTTTTCTATTTTCAAGAAACTCCTGAAGACCCTGCTCTTCAGAGAGCATCTTCTTAACTAGCACCTTGCCTGCACCCGTCCCCCCTCTCTACTGTCCACTCCTTGTTCTCTCCTCTCCATGACTGATGTCAATTTGTTGTTGTTACTATTGTTGTTAGCCTCAAGGGCAAAATGCCGATTATCACTTGTAAGTCGCTTTGAACAAAAGCGTCTGCTAAATACATAAACATAAACATACTTCAATTTAAATGAAAATTAATGATGGGTATTTCACATACTTTGAGATTTATCTGCTTGTAAAAGTTAGCATGACCACAAATCAGACTTTGGCGCGTCGCATGTCACCACAGAATCTCTTCTCCCCTAGCATAGCTGCTACTTACCACATGGCCATATTTACGGTAGTTCTTTCTTCCTGAAGGAAGGATTTGAAGTTCGCTGAACTAGTCATTTTTTCCCTCTGTTTTTCTCCATGTCTGGTTCGATGACGTCATTTTCGTGAAGCGCATTTGTAGCCTGGACTTATTTTCACACGAAACCTAAACCTAACAAAAGCTTTCTTGGTATCGAAATGTGTCTTTAAAATTCACAGACATCATATGTGAAATCCATAGCCACATTGACTTGCATTCATTTTTTCGTTCTTCCGGGGACCCGTGGTCCGGAAGTAGATGGGAGTTACGTAAGCTCCCTATTAGCAGTGCTCTGTTGCCATGTAGTGTTCAGTGCAGTACACAGAATTTACAACGTGTCTATTTACACTTCATCAGTAACACATACCTGTACACTAATATTTACTCATCCCAACAAATCCTACAGTGGTTGTTTTTAACAGATAATCAAATGTCAAACAAGTGGAGCACCTTTTTTTGCAGCTTGGGTACACAATGACACAATGTTTTTTCACAGACAAAATTACAGACATTTCACACAAATGTAAAAATGTTTAAAAATACCAAAATTGACATTTTCTAAAATTGTTTTGAGTCCATGTTTTCTCTTCACGGCACAAAATGGGCGTTAGCTGTTACTTTTGCTCCTCCATGAGAACTTCTCCCTGATTCTTTGGCATTGCTCCACCTCTTGTCCATTCTATTAAAAATTCAACTATCTCTGTAATATCTATACTTTGCCCCAGTTCAGATGTAGGTGTTTTTGACAAACGGTAAAGCTTCACTCTTCATGTTGCCCGAAAGCGATGAGGCTAAACGGCTGCTGTGTGATTCTGGTGAAGAGAAGAGGCTGGACCTTGAAGAAGACTCATAACTCGATGCTGAAGACCCAGCCGATAAGTCAATCTGCTCTAACCTAGATGACCGTCCTGATCTAGCTGTACGTCCAGATTTTAAAGCGCGTGCTGATCTGGAGGAAATGGAGGACACATCTGAGTGCTGAGAATTTGACGACATCTCTGAGATGGAAGACATTTTGCTTTTGGAGGTGTTCTCTGACATGTCGGACGATGCTGTGGTGGGCTTGTTTTGTTCTGGGTCTTGAATGGCGAATACTCTAATAAAAGACAAACAAATTACTTGGAGTACCCTCTCTATTCCACAATCTAATACACAACAACCCCCCCCCCCACACACACACACACACACACACACTTTTTCCAAAGTCAAGTTTTGACCCCTGCACATTTTACCATCAAAAAACAATATTACGCTACATTAAATGGACACTGGTTAAGCTCTAGGACCAAGCGGAAAACAACCGTTTGTTTTGAAGCCCGTTTCCCATTAGAACATACTGTAAAGATACCAGACAGACAGACGGAACCCTAAAAATAAACACATACAGGAAACCAACACACACCAATATCTATTATGGACATTGGAACATCCCACGATACATAAAATGTCAGTGATCAGAACATTATACCACAGAGCAAATATAATACGAGAAGCACAAGACCACAAACTAGAGGACCAACACATATGCACACTAAAAACCCGTGGATACCCAACAAAAGGAAAACTACAAACAACAATAGAAAAGAAAAATGAACAAACCAGAAGAAGCAGAAACAAACCAGGAACAAACAAAGACTAGAACCAAAACCAGTAATAACCCTTCCATTTATCAAAGGCATAATGTAAAAAAATAATTACAACAATGAAAACACGTAATATCAACACACCAACAAAACCATACATGAAAGTCAGAAAAAGATCAGCACACTCAAAAGACAAGATATCAGCAGATGCAAAATGTGGAGTCATATAAGAAATACCATGCAAACTCCGCAATAAAACACTCATAGGAGAAACCGGACGCCAACTCGACACACGAGCAAGAGAGCCAAGATCATAAACACAGAGCAACAAAAATACAAAGATGGATCAAAGAAGCAACAGAAATAAGGAGACGTCGTGAACACAAAACCATGAAGAGACGATGGAGTATTCGCATTGGATCACGCATGGGACAGTGTCATCAGCAAGGAGGACACAGGCAGTAGAGGGCGACACCGTCTTCTGCTGCCCGCGAATAAACAGAAGTGACGCCACCAACACCGGCGATTTCTGATGATGGCTAGAGATACTACCTGAAACATGTCAGGTAAGAAAACATTTTTTTACTGAACTGTGTAAAAAAAGGGACTCTGGTAGTTTGTCCTAAATTTGAAGTGGTGGCAGCCAACATATTTTTCTTCACCGATTCAGGGCTGCCAACTGTCACTCACTGAGCGTGAGACACACGCAGCGGACCCCCTTCACACTCTTTCATGCTACACCTCCAATTTCGCATGCTGGAAAAGCCTGGGGGTGGGGGAAGTGTTTGCCCAATAATAAAATAGTGTGCGCAAGTCGGATTTTTAATGCAGTTGGCCACAAAGCCACGAAAAATGTCATTTTTTCCTAAAATAAATTTCTGTTGATGGCCCGACTACAGCAAATATTATTATTGGCAGTGATTTACCTATTGAGGACTCCTGCCTTTGGTTTTATTATCCAGCTCACTATCTTCGCGCTCCCGCCTAATTATTGACAGAGCCTTGTAGATCATGAGTAACACAGAGGAATGAGTCTTTTGATCATTTTTACTTGACTTGCACTCACCTTTCCTCATTTACACACAGTGATTTGCACACTGACCACAGATAAAAAAATCCTCCAGCCAGTTGGATGACTGAGCCCACCCATCCGAGGAACAGAGGTGTGCCAAGATCATAACTGTAAATAAATACAGAAGCAGCAAGTTAAAAAGTAAGTTGATCATTGATGCTTCCACAGTACCAATGATGCTGAAGTCAGCATCCACTGAGTGTCTGAATGGGAAGCTGCTATATGGTAACCTAGAAATCTAGACAGACCGTACCAATAGTAAAGGTCGGTCTAGAATAGTGTGACACGGTGAGCATCACTGTATCTTAATTGATCATGCGTCCTGGCTGCTTGGCAAACAAAGATATCCCTTTGGCTGACTGGTTAGCATGCATGACTTTCACCCCAGAATATGGGGATCAAATCCCGCACGGGACCTCATTTCTCTACCTTGCCCAAGCCCCCATAATTCGGGTCTGGAAATGAAGCAAAACAGGAAGTTACAAAAATTGCAGTTCCACCCTTATCCGCTAGGGGCTGTTGTCAGAAGTAAGCAAATCCTCATTGACTCCCATGTTAAAAATACCAATTCCACAGCTGAAACAAACATGTTTACAGCCTGGTTCCAAAACATGTTTTAGGTTCAATAGATCCAGTTTACACCCATGACAACTCTGAGGGGGGGTACATTTTTTTGTCGCCTGAAAACTGTTCCGCCATTTTCAGTCTCTCAACTTACACCATTAGTTGCGCCGTTTGTGTATTCTTTTTTGGATACTATTGGTGCAATTGTTGGACAAAATGACTTGCTGTGGTATTAATTGCACTAAAAGAGCGTCCAAGAAGTCTCCACTTCATTTTGTTCGGTAAGTAAAATTATATTTATGTCGATAATAATATTGCATTTCTCTGAGTTAATATTGCATTCCTCTGAGTTAATATTGCATTCCCTCAAGATAACTGTGTTCCCCCCGAGCTAATATTGCGTTTCCCCGAGATAAAATTGCGTTCCCCCGAGATAAAATTGCGTTCCCCCGAGATAACTGCGTTCCCCTGAGCTAATATTGCGTTCCAGGGTTCGGCTTTCCTGAAATAATGTCCTCTAAAAAGCCCTTAGCTGTGATGGTGCTGCTGTAACAAGTGAATTTCTCCACGTTGGAATCAATAAAGTCTATTCTATTAGGTTTCATCATAAGTTCACTGATATTTCTTTTAAAGAATAATAAAATACCTTGCCACAATAGAATAGAATAGACTTTATTGATCCCACAGTGGGGAAATTCACTCATTAAGGCAGCACATACAGTTAGAGAATAGGAAAAGTACATTACAGGTACACAAAGGGAGTAGACTGTTATTGTAACCATCAGCAATTAAAAAATTAATAAAACGAAGATTGGGAGGTCAAGGCGACTGGTCTGTAGTGGTCTGGTTGTCGGGGATGTAATGTTTTGGGAACTGGAACCACATAGGATGGAGACCTGCTCCAAACAAAGGCTGAGGTTGACGTTTCACAAAGCTGGTCAGCACAGTCTTTGAGCAACTGTATAAGCCTGTCTGGAAATAAGACTGTAACCTAGGAGAAGGCCATGACATTTGTCAACAACCTGATCTACCAGTGGGCAGAGGTCATCACACATTAAGTTTCCAGCCAATTTCATCTGTCTGGAATCTTATGCTTTCCACCCCAAAATAAATCCTGTGTATGACCTTGCTCTCAGTAGACTCATTTGGTACATTTAAGGTCTGAAATAGGTAATGAAATAATAAACATTTATGTAGATTTATTCTTTACTGTAAAGCAGTCCAGACATTGTTAAATCACTTTGGATAAAGCATTCATTTTAGATAAAACAAATTAGATTTTTTGTTGTTATGTATATCTTATTGTTTATGTGTTTTATTTGTTTTTATTTTGAATGAAATAAATGAATTTAAAAAAAGATTGTAATCAACCTGTAAAAAAAGAAAAAGAAAAGAGTTCTCATCTTCTGAAGAGATGTCTTAGGACACTGACGTAGGAGAGAGGAATTTATTATGACTAGTTTATATGCTGCCAAAATAATTCCAGTGAAAAATCTGGCTTGATTTCTCATACGATGGTAATTTAGCGTAGGCTGAAAGCTTTTGCAGGAACTGCGTGAGCTGGAAGCTTTGGCTGGAACTGTTGAATATAGGAAGTGTTCACTCTTTTAAGCACTGGTTGTTTAAAAGTTTCGGACAAATCAGAAGCCAGAAAGTGTACTAGATGTTAACAAATCCTCAAACCTTCCCTTTCTCACACACTTAGAGAAGCTTACTTCATTTAATATATGAAGTAAATAGTTAAACGGTCATTTGTTAATATACTGATGTTAATATGTGACTATATAAACCATCCTTTTTCAGAATCAACCAATTATTTGTTTAATCTGGAAGACAACTCATCAGACATGAAGCAATCCACCAGAAGTCACCTAAGAAATATCTTTTCGACCAGTCGTGCATATTCTACAACTCTCAGATACATCAGAAGTCTACTAACTCGCTTTGCCGAGAACCCCGAGGACTTCCGCTACACTGGTGCATAGGCTTTTCACAAGGGCGTTGGATGGGTTAAGATTAATTTGATAACCAATTAAAGCTAAATTAAATTCAACCAGATTTATTTAATAAACCCACACATCACACCTTTCTGAGTCAACTGAGCTCTTAAAATATATAAGGTCGTATTTCATCAGAGTTCATTCATTGTCTCAGTTGATATCACTTTGAATCACCATTTATAATCATTTGTTCTGCATCATTATCAGTAGAAAAATAGTAATACATTGATTATTTACCCAATTACACATCCAAATTACCTAGTTTCACCATCAATCAAATTTTAAAGGCTCAATAGTATAGACGTCAAATGTCACATTCGCGGAGTACATACGCTTCTTTCTTTCGCTCCCTTATCTTTTTTTCCCAAGGCTCTTTGTCCTGTCTGCCCACAGAGCGCTTCTCTGCATTGCTTCTGAAAAACCCTATTTTACTAACCATGGTTTTGATAAATTGGTCATTCAATGCGATTGATAAGACTTTTTCAACAATGAGAACGGAGCAGGGGGCTCCCACATGTCCACAGGGGACACACCCGGTGGGATATATGCTGGATTCCTGGAAGGAGTGGAAGATCATATGCCTCAGCCAGCTGTCCATTGAGGATGTCGAAGACGTGTGGATATTTGGTCTGATGATCACTGGATTTCTCCTGATTGGAGTGGGAGGATATCTGGTTTTCTGGAAATTTGGGAAGACGGGAGTGATTGGAGGGCGACCCGCACCCACGGAAAGCACCGTCCGTGTGGAGACTTCTCAGACTGGGACGTTACTCGAGGTGAATCGTAAGCTGGACAATGTTCTGGCTGCGATACCGGTATTTAGTGCGCAAAATGGATGTCATCTCGGAGAGAGTCACCGGACGGTATGGACAGGTTTAAAAACCCAAAATTGGCTTCACTGAAGGACTGGAATGATCAGTTTAAAGACTGAAGGCAGAGAGGGATATTATCTCAGCCTGACCCAAACAAATTCTTGTTATCTGAATCTGATGCCCTGGTAGCCTTGAGCGAGCAACAAACCCCCACAAATGAATGCAGACAGATGCTGTGAAAACCCGACCTACCCGCCCCACCTTCGGATTGGTGGACTTCAGCCTGGCGAGGTAATCAATCTGCAGGAGTCAATGTGCTCTTCGCTTCTCCCAAGATCTCCCTCCCACCTGTGACTGTACAGTGGATGAGCGCCGTAGATGGCTGCTCTCGCTGGGGGAAACAGGATCCCAGCCCCCCCCTCCTATTGGAGTCTCATGTTATGTTGTCTGTAGTCTGTTGCATATTTGTTGAGGTGTTTTTTTGCAGAGCAAAGCTACCCTCCTGGTGGGAGGGTAACTGTGAAGTGCGTTTTTTTTCCCTCCACCTGAACCAATCCTCATGTTACCCTCTTATCTCTATTAAGGTAGCGCAACTCAGGGTTGCGAATGACCACAGTCTCCCATTCTTGTCATGTGTCTTGCCCATGTATGTCTGATCTCTGAATTGTGTGTACTGAAACTCTAATTTCCCTCTGGGATTAATAAAGTATTGATTGATTCATTGATTGATAATCTGTATTTTTATGGAATATTACATTTTATTGAATACCTTTATATTCTAATGACAATTTATTAAAAGTAACCATTTACAATAACCTGACTGTGGACTCAGTCTTACCTGAGGTTAGTAATGTCAGCGTCGAGGTTTTCCATTGACACATATGTTGCATAAACAGCATACGCAGATATGGACAGCACACCTGCAGGGAAAATCATGTTCAAAGACAAAATATAATAATTAACAGATTCATTAGAAACAACATTGTTTAGTGTTCTTATTGACCTGGTCACTGAGTACAACAATTAGCAAAGCTGACAGGATCATGCTTAATTTGTGACATGATTAATTTGTGACTGACTGAGTCATACTTCCTTGGTGAGTGCATGTTAGCACTAGCCTAGCTAGTGTCGTCTCAAACTTCAGACATCCAGAGCATGGTTTTCAGTTTGAATTGAGAAAGCTGAAAACCTCCCAAAACAAAAAAGATGACCAGTTCTTACTACTGTAGTATTCTTTTAGAATGCTAATGTCAGCATGCTAGCACGCCAAGCATGTTTTCCACTTCATATTGAACTTCTTTACTAATTTAGTGATGTCATTAGGTTTGCAGCAGTCACAGAAATGAGAGCATCTGAGAAGTATTTGTTGTGATGTGGTAAGCCAAATCATGTCTAAGGTTTGTTCTCAAAGGGGAAATTTGGTGCAAGCGGGTAAATGGTAGTGGCAGTCTAAAATTAACAAATTAACTCGAGAGGGATAAAAGTCCCAAAAAAATTCAACAACAATCACAATTTTAAAGAAATTACTTTGGAAACACAGCATAAATAAGCTGCCATAAAGTTTTTTATCTTCTGATGAAATGATTATTCCAACCTACTGAATCAAGGTGAATTATCTCCTCTTTTTATTCTACTTGGTTTTGATTAGACTCATTAGGATCCCAAAACAAAAGGAATTCACACATTTTTTGAAAGCACATTCTTGTACGGTCTACAATGCTGAAATCTAACTGCTATCTTTTTTATGACAACTAGACATTTACCACTGAGGATGTGGCAACATCCACCCGTACAGATCTTCCTGTACTTGGACTTTTCTTTTCCTCCAATGTAGGTGCATTCCATGCCCAAAAGACTGAGTACAAACCCCAGCATGCCCACAGAAAGAGCTCCCATTAGCAGGCCTCGCACTATTTGGACATAGCCTAGAATAACACACAATGACAGGGAGACATTTCTAAAAGCAGACTTCCAAAACCAAGTAGCTTGAAAAACGCCAATATGTGTTTACATACCATTCACAGACCAGAGCACAGGGAAGTCACGACAGTTAGTTACGGCAGTTGAGTCTGTATAGCAGGATCTCCACAGGCTGGACCAATACCAGGCCACTTTCATAACGGCTGAGCCCCCCATACCACCGATGGCTGAGATCTTCCAGCCCTCCATGGCCAAAGTGCAAGCTACAAAGATCCAGCCCAACACGGTCATCAAGAAACCCCAGATTTGCACTACTCGGATCTTCATCTTAAGGTCTCTGTGTGTGGATTTCTGTCTAGACAAGCTTTAAAATTTCCAAACTCTTAAGATTTTTTTAGCTCAGTTCGGTTTTGCTGATTATCCTCTTCACTTCAAGCATGAATCATAATGAATTTGGATCCAACATTGGCTCCCATTCGAAGGCAAAGGGATGTCCAAGTAGTCGAAGGCAGTGGCGCAACTAAATGGACTGAGCCCAAAGAGAGATGCAGTTCTGTTTACCGGTAATGCATGTGGGTGAGAGACAGTGGTCACTATGGTTCCCATGTGTCATCAGATTTGGATCTAGACAGAGACTGCTTCGCCAAGCAAGCATCTCATATTTCTGAAAAATCATAAGGTGTTTCACAAAAGCAAACAAAAAAATTAAAGTATAAAAGATTTTTAAAAAATGTGTTTAAAATTAGAAAAAACATTGTGATAAAATTTGCTTGTGATAAAAAAAACCTTGCAGTGATAAAGCTCCACCAAAAGGCAAATGAGTGAAGCGTCACTTGAAATAATTGCATTTGTTCTTTTCTTTAAAGCTGTGGTTGACTGAAATTTTTTTTAATGATTCTTCTACACCCATCTCCTGCGTTAGCTTGTCATAGAAAATAGATGGTGAAATGCTAGAGTTTGAAAATCCTCACGCTGTGATGTCACACTGTGAATTTGCATTCTTGGCCTTGCCCATCTTGCATCACATCCACCCACAGGAAGGCTTTTAAAAACATTTTTGCAGCGGGGAGAGAGAGCGGAGAGTGTGTTGGTGAAAGTAACTTTGCAACATGGTTGAACGCGTTCTGTTAGCCAATCAGAAGTGAGGTGTGTGCATATCATTAATAATAATGAGCAATCCTGTTGTTTTTATCCCACCTCTGCACCAGAAAATTTCTGCATCTCAGAACAGGAGCTTTAAAAAAAAGAAGACTCATAAAGCATTGCTTTACACTAGAGAACACTGCAAATGTACTGAATAAATGAGTAAACTACTCCTTTAATTCTTTTAAAGCGTAGCTAAGTGTGTATTAGTCTAGAAAATCAGATCATTTCTTCAATAATTCTACTTAACATTTTAAACAGTATAGTTCTACATATTCAGTTTATTCTCAGGCTTTTCTGGAAGAAACATTAAGAAATTCTATCCAGAAGTGATCCAGATACTCATCCAGGTCATTTGTGTGGTGATGGTTCTGTAACCATAGCAACCCATTGTTGTTGTTAGAGTAAAGTCACTAGTTAGTCAAACTATTGCTTGGGAACATAAAAAATGTTACCCTTTTTGGCCTTAATGATTCATGGCCCTTCTCAGTAAAACAACATTTATGGTCATTTTTATTCACTTTATCAGTGAAACTTGTTTTCAGTTATCAAATGTCTGGTCTAAACACACCCCGTTTAGTAGACACTACAGTCAGAATGTGGAAGTTTAAAAATTTAGAGATAATTTAAAAATCCAGACAACTTGATGACATTTAGAAACAACAATCCCATAACTAAATGTTACTATTGTTCAGTTTTGGTCTATTAAGCAGATTAATCTAATTATATTTTGCACAATATAAATATGATGCCTCTTTTCTCAGATCAGCTGTTTTATTTTGGCACCTTATGTGGCAGAGTTACGCTGACAGACCACTCAGTGGCGCTGTTCCATTGTTTTTGGCTATGAGGAAGTGGAAAACACATCTAAGCCAAGAAGTTTTACATAACATAAATAATTTCTTGGTGGAGATGGATGTCTGACAGGAAGGAAGACCTCCTTCAGAGCCTTCTAGAAACATGCCCGGACAAATCTTTTACATGACGTGGTTGAACTTTGTTTGAGACATTTGATCTAATGCAGCTTTAAACTTCAGTGTTCACAGTTAAATAGTATTAGATTCAAATAATAATAATAATAATAATAATAATAAGGCATAATTATTCAGCTTTGATCTTTTTTGTCAGTTCATAACAGCAGCTTTTAATCAGAAATTTTCTTTAAGAAGACAAAAAAAGAGCGTTTGGATGTTAAAAGGAAAGTGTGTGTTCATTTGCAACAGTCAAGAAAGAGCAGCATGCTGAAGGTGACCGGAGAGCTCTGGTGCTATTTTGTGCCAAATGAAATTTTCTGCCTTGCAAACAAAAAATATAAATAAATAATAAAAAAAAAAAGAGCTTATCTTTTATGAGTTATTGACAGAAACGACCCAAAGAGCTGCTGTACTTGTGCAGGAATCTGGTGTCCCAGTCCAGCTTCTAGCTGAATCCGATTATGGTTAAAAATTATGAGCATTTCTACAATAAGTCACGAAACGATTTCAGATTTACACGTAGGCATTTCTTCCAAACTTCCCTGACTCCCCCTGTGGTTCCTTGTGTAGACTGTTGGCTGTCTGGCGCTGGTTGTGTGTTGTTGCAAATGATGCCACTCGACGGTGAGAGGTCTCTCCTCTGTAAGAAACCGAATAAGCCAATTAAAGTGTCTAACCAGCCTGATCTTGTGTAAAAAATAATAACACTTGCAGGAAATCTAGCAGAATATCCTGAAGGAGGATGTCTGACCTTTGACCTTAATCAGGCCTTTCAGGCTAAGGGGTAAACTGTATTTTCACAGGTTGGGTTGGATAGCTTTGTTCTCATAATAATTGAAATAATTTCAAATTGCAAAATATTATAGTTTGAATCTTACTTGATACTGAAGCCTCCAGAAAGAGGAAGGCAGAAAAGAAGTCCTCCTAAGATGCACAGCACAGACCCAGACCAGCCGATGAAGAGAGCCGCTCCGAGCTCAAACCTTCAGAATGAAAATAAATAATAAAATGACATTCACGACCAGCAAAGCTGACAAAATTCTTCTCTGAGTCCTGCATGCATACTTCTGTGCAACAAAAAGAGGATCGAAGAATTCTGTTGTGATCCTGCGTGCATAAATCGAACACGCAGTCATGCAGCAGACCCCTGTAGAAAAAACAAACTTACATCCAGGTCAAAGATAAAGTAGTGATTCACGTGTCAAAATGTACCACTGAGGACGAAGGTGAAGCCTGAAAGGACAGTCAGACGAGCCTTGGTGGTTTCAGAGCCCCCGATTGTCGTGCACTTCATTCCCAACAAGGCCAGAATTGCACCAAAGAATCCTAAACATACAGAAGAAATCATCTCTGCAGACCTGAATGTAAGCTGCAAGATAGAAACAGAGAAGGTTTAAACTAGTTCACAGCATTTAGGGCCAGATGTGTCTTTAAAGGTTTTACTTCTCTAAAGGATTGGTGATGTAACCCAGAAGCTAGAACCTTAATGAGGTATTAACTATTTGGCTTACTAATATGATCCATCCTCAATTTAGATAAAATATAAAATATAAATTAAGGAAATTAACAATACTAATTAATAGATATCTAATTAACTAATAGATAATTTCATAATGAATTATTGGAAGGGTGAATAACTAAAATAACGAGTTTAATATTAAACATCGGTTAAAACAAGAATCTTGAACATCCCTAACAGAAACAGAAGAGGAAAGCTGTATACTATTGGTCCAGGTGGGAATCTGAAATTTCATTGGCTGAGAGAAATAAGTCCCGCCTCCGCGAAATAAAACCGTGCGACGCAGCTGAGCGAGAGGAGAGACAAACGGCTGTGCAGCACGCAGATACAGAAAGCAAAGACTGAGCGGTTAGAGAGAGAGAGAGAGAGAGAGAGAGAGAGAGAAAAAAAACAACGGTCGAGGCCGTGAAGAACCCCGATTTGGGTGCCGCATAGATAGAGGGAGAGGCGGACTTGACTCCTTCTAATAAGAGCTAGGAACTTGGAACCAACGCGGTGAGTAAAGAAAAAAGAAGAGAAAAAGCTAACGATGCAACTTAAAAAAAAAAGGAAACTTAAATAGCTTATCAAATTAATTCCATTCTTATAGATTTGTGTGGAGACGACAGAGTGAACCAATCCTCTGTAGGAGGGAACCGTTGGAGCGCGTTGGTGAGTGAATGAGATTAAATTCAGTAAATTATTAAATTCAAAAAGCTAATTACAGCAACCGAGGTGACAGCAGTGGGCTGCTAGACGTTAGATCCCAGGAGTTAACATCTCAAACTACCAGTTAACGGTGGTAGGGCATATAGGAGTTAACGGCTCAAACCGCCAGTTAACGGCGGTACGGCATATGGGATTCCCAGGAGTTAACGGCTCAAACCGCCAGTTAACGGTGGTACGGCCTAGATGTACAAGGTCCTCAGGGGCGTTATAGCTAACGCCATAGAATTAGCAATGCGTCCCTTAACCAAACATTTAATAATAAAAAAAAATAGATAAATAAAAATAAATAAAAGCTAACTGATTAGGGAGGAATTATTTTACAAAGGTGGACCAAAGGACCAGAATTTATATTTTGTTGAATTTTGTTATAGAACATTTTATTTATTTATTTATTTATTTATTTATTGTGTTACAGATATACAAGGTGTCACAATGCTGTATAGAAACACAACTAAATGTATCCTTGTTGTCATGAATGTATTTCTTGTCGAATAGTGTAGAGTAATAGAATCTAACTGAGCCTATTGAGCTGAACAATTGTTGTCATATGTAATTATATTTCCAGAGCTACTGAGAATTATTTTAATAGACAATCAAATTGATGTTATGTTAGTTGAACTGTGAACCCAAACATGATTGGCTATGCCAATAGAGTGAAGCATTTGTTTAAGTCTGTAAGACTTTATGCTGTGATGTGACGAGAAGGGTCGATGCCAACTCGCTAACAGTCCTGTTGTTTACAGGCTGGGTTTTTTTTTTTTCCTTGGGTTTGATCCCGACTCCTATGATCACTCACTTGGAACGAGAACTGGATTTCTTCCTGACGAGGGAGATGGCGAGCCTTAACCACTGAACGAACCAGGACATCTCAAGTAACTGAAGAGCAGACTGCTCTCTTCTGTGAACAATCTCAACGGTGCGGTAGGAAAAAATCGCACCACCGGACTCTGACTTTCACCCCAAGCGTGGGGATTTGACTTGACGCCGGCTGACTTGTGACTCATATGATCAAATCTCATACCGAGCATTTTACTATTGTCGATTGTTTTCATCTGTTTTTGTGTGTTATCTTTATGTGTTATATTTCCCATTATTATTAAAATTTAGTATATAAACCGTTTCATGCTATACCCGTGACTCCAGTCATTCTTAAACAACCTCCAATTCTCCCCGACCCTAATTATTGGCCCATTTGTTTATTTTTTCTTTTAATTATCTTATTGTATCCTGTAATCCGGTTACATAAAACTTGGCGAGCCAGCCAGGAGAATTGTAGAGTTGTTACCTTAGCTAACCATTGACTGACATCATAAGAGTGCCTGGAGGTCACAGTGGTTTGCCATTTTGGCATTATTGGTACTTTTGAGTGTTTTAAAATGGAAGTTGTAAAAACAGAAAAGGTCAAGGTTTCAAATGCTGTTTTAATCAGTGGGTTAACTGATACAGACCTTGATAACGAAGTCTTTGGGTTTATGGAAGGATTCGGACCAGTTAACAGGCGCATTAAGTTACCAAACTGTGATCAGATTATTGTGGAGTTTCAACATGAAGCCACTGTTAAGGAATTAAAGAAACAATGTTTACCCTATGACAAACCTTGTACTAGGAACCCAGATGTTTTCTTCCATATTCAAGACCTAGCCAGCGCGTACAGTCTAGAAACTAGCACATCTGCCACTGATGCCTATCTGTCAGAGCTCAGGGACATAGCTGCGCGTAGCAATCAATCATTTAAAGACCTTCTAATGGAGGAACTGGCAAAAATTGGGGAATCTTTAGGAAGGGATACCCATGCATCTGAACCAGTCACTGAACCAGAGCCAATGCTCCATAGTGACCAAGTTACATATTCCCTGCCTTTAACACCAGAAGTTAACTATATGAACAACTCAAAGGACAATTGTCCACCTACAGAGACTGGAAAACAAAACCCTTGCATTCCACCAAATCTTTTAAACACACCTGAGGTTCAGCGAGTTATTGTGGAACACATTGTTAAAAGCAGTGAGGTTATCCCTCCGCCTACTTCACAATACAGACTAAAACCGTTCTCAGGGCGAGTTCCACACCCTTCTTTTGAAACTGACTATGATACTTGGCGTAGTAGTGTAGTGTTATGCATAAATGATCCTTCACTCACCAAGTCCCAAATTGTACGAAGAATCGTGGAGAGTCTGTCAGCCCCAGCAGCGAGCATCGTTAAAGCTCTTAGTCCAAAATCCGACCCGGAAACGTACCTTGAACATCTCGATTCAGCTTACGCAGCTGTCGAAGACGGCGACGAGCTCTTTGCTCGCTTCTTAAACACAAACCAGGACAGTGGTGAAAAACCTTCCGATTACTTTCAGAGGTTATACACCTTGTTAAACCTAGTTATTCAGAGGAATGGAATTTCCTCCAGTGACGCCGACCAGCAGCTGCTCAAGCAGTTTTGCAGAGGCTGTTGGGACAGCTCGCTGATTTCAAACCTGCAACTCGAACAAAAGAAAGACAACCCGCCTCATTTTACAGCACTTCTCCTCAAACTGCGCACTGAAGAAGACAAACAGGCTACTAAAGCAGCACGCATGAAACAACACTTAGGGGCACAACGAACTAGAGTGTATTCAAATGTGCAAACAACATGCTCTCAGAGTAAAAACACTTGTGAACTGGAAATAGATGATAACTGTGATGACTTACGCAAACAAATCGCTGAGCTCAGGAGCCAAATTGCACAGCTTAAGGTTAACAACACAGATAAAAAGGCAAAGAAAACTCAAAAAGAGTCAAAACCCCGTGTGGGGACTAAAATTCCAGATGAGCCCAAACAGATTCAGCAGATAACAGCAGTGGTGCCCAGACCAAAGCCTGGATACTGTTTTAAGTGCGGAGAAGATGGGCACATAGCTTCTAGCTGTAGCAACGAGCCAAATCCAGCACTAGTTGCAACTAAAAGACTTGCTCTTAGACAGAAGCAGCGCGAGTGGGAGATGTCAAAGCCAATTGCTCAGTCTCCTCCTTTAAACCGGTAGAAGCTCCTATCGTGGGACAGATAGGTGCTAAAGTAGAACCAAGTCCCTCTAAGGAAAGGACAGAGAGACTTTTTTGCAAGCCAGTTCATGCTCATTCAGTGCCAAAACTTCCCAAAAGATTAGTGGGTGGGCGATGCACAGCTACAGTCTCAGTTAACAGTGTTGAATGTAATTGTTTACTGGATTCAGGGTCCCAGGTAACCACCATTGCCAATTCTTTTTACCAAGAACACTTACCTGACCTCTCAATTAAACCCATCAGTAATCTGTTAGAAGTCGAGGGCGCAAACGGTCAAGCAGTTCCTTATTTAGGATACATAGAGATAAGTGTCACATTTCCAAAAGAGCTCGATCAGTCTGGACTTGAGTTACCTACCCTTGCGTTAGTGGTTCCGGATATAAGCTCAAACTCTGATACACCACTACTCATTGGCACAAACACACTCGATCCTTTGTATGAGCAATTGTCTGCCAATAACTTACCTGATTCCAAGGCACTCTCTTATGGGTACCAACACGTGCTAAAAGCCTTAGCAGTCAGAAAAAAACAAAGCAAAGATGGACGAGTTGGTGTGGTGAAGCTTCGAGGGAGAACCCAAGAAGTTCTCCCTGCAAATAAAAAACTGTTACTAGAAGGGTTTATGCAACCCAGCCAAAACAAGCATGAGCCTTATGCACTCATTGAACAACCCACCAATGGTTCTCTACCAGGGGGTATAATTGTAGACTGTTGCCTCATTTCCTTACCTTCACATGGTCCATACAAAGTACCTGTTGTACTAAGAAACGAAACTAACCATGACATCACATTACCCACTAACTGTGTGATCGCTGAGTTAGTTAAAGCCGATCGTGTTATGCCATATCCAGAACCTGACAAAAGTGATCAGAAAGTACTTGCGGCGTGTAGTTCGCAGCAACAGACTTCACCTTCAAACCCTCCTCTCAGTTTTGACTTCGGTACTTCGCCCTTGTCCGAAGAATGGAAAGGGAGGATCACCAACAAACTTAACACTTACTCCGATGTGTTTTCGCACCACGATCTTGATTTTGGTCATACACAACAGATAAGACATCACATCAACTTAAAAGACGAGACCCCATTCAAACAGAAATCTCGGCCGATCC